ACAGAGTGAATGATGATGAGCGGGGCGAACCATCTGCCAGTCCCTCCGCGCGCCCGTCCATCTGTGCATTTATCCGTCCGTGCGTGCGTTCGTCCGTGCACCTGTCTGCTTGCCTGTCTGTCCATCCATGCGTCCGTCCATCAATCTAGTGAACACTCCTAGTACCGCCATCTCGAATCTTTTTATCGCCATCGTAGTTGCGCGATCGTCTCTCTCCTTCCCCTGTGGCATATACCTGTCTATCCCCCCCTGGTACATACCCGCTCTCTCGGGTATGTGCCACTGGTGATAACACAGGACAACGGTGGACACACAAACCATGCCATAAGGATGTGGGTTACATCTTTTAACCCCAACATTTTGGTCGAACCTCCACATTTTGGCAAAATCCCATAATACCCGTATGTAGCTGCGAGACTGTTTAAGCCTTACACAGTTTTCAATTTCATATGACTGTGTAAGCCAATCATTGATTGCTGTAACATGCAAGGATGTGGAATGTCTTGCACTTCACACACCTCTTTATCTTAAATTGCATAAGACCATGCTTACCCCCTTATTCACAAACGCACCTCGACTGGACTTTCACCATTCACTGACAGAGTTGAGCACTGCGCCACCGCTCGGCTGAAAACGACGCTGCACTACTCAAGAATCGCAGCAGACCTTTGCTGATATGCAGCGACTTGCCGTGCCTATAGATGGCGCTTCTATCGGCTTTCTCAATATCTATAAAGGTAACAAGGTAGTTCTATAAACAAGAATATCTATAAAGGTAACAAGGTAGTTATAAAGTGAGAAAAAGCAGGTATCCAAGCCTGCAGAGGTAAAACGGGGGCTTAGGCAGGGGTGTCCTATGTCACCCTTATCATTCATGATGTACCTACAAGAATTAGAGGCCAAATTAGAAGGAAGTGGACTGGGCTTCAACCTCTCTTTCATCAAACAAGAAAAACTCATTGAACAGGCACTACCAGCATTGATGTACACAGATGATATAGTGCTAATGGCCGACAACACAGGAAGATTTGCAGAGATTGATGGACATCTGCAGGTAATGAGGGAGATAGGTTAGATTTCATACTTAGTAAGAAAAATCAGCAGTCATGATTTTTAATGACAATGAACGTAGTGAGCTTAGAATACAGGAGGTACGCTAGAGATAACAGATAAATACAAATATCTGGGTGTACGGATAAGCAATGGGGCCGAGTACCTAAGGGAACACGAAATATACATGACGACTAAAGGTAACAGGAATGCAGCGGTGATGAAAAACACGGCACTGTGGAATTACAATAGGTAGTGATGTTGTAAGAGGAATATGGAAAGGGGTCACGGTTCCTGGTCTGACGTTCGGCAATGCGATCTTGTGCATGAGATCAGAAGTTCAAGCGAGATTGGAAATTAAGCAACGTGGAATAGGTAGGCTTGCCTTAGGAGCTCACGGGAATACACCAAATCAGAGAGTACAAGGTGATATCGGATGTACGTCATTTGAGGGCAGGGAAGCTAGCAGCAAGATAAAATTTGAGAAGCGATTGAGAGAAATGGGGGAGGAGCTTTGGGCTAGGAAGGTATTCAGCTACTTGTACATGAAGAATGTCGATACAAAATGGAGGAAGCGAACCAGAAAATTGACTGGTAAATACTTAGAAAACAGCAGGGGGCCAAACCAAAAAGAATTATCGGTTAAGGAGAAGGTGAAGGAAGCTGAGACTGATATGTGGAGAATCGGCATAATTAAGAAGTCCGCACTAGAGATCTATCGAACTTTTAAGCAGGAAATTGCCAAGGAAAGGATCATGATAATACTCGGGGTAGTTCTCTACTGTTTGAGGCCAGGAAGGGGGTACTGCGAACCAATGACATATCGGGCCAAATACGAAGGGGTAGACACAGTATGCAGTGCGTGTGGAGAGGAAGAGGAAAGTGCTGAACACTTGATAATGTTCTGTAAAGGGCTTCACCCTATAGTTCAGGATGATGGCGCAGAGCTTTTCAAAGCACTGGAGTTTAGGGACAGGGAGGGCAAAATAGACTTTAAGCGGGTGGAATTAACTAGAAGGAGGTTATCTGATTGGTGGCTAAAGTCAAAGCACGAGTGAAAATTAAACCTTTCACTGCAAAGTACGAATCCTTAACCTCACTATTTAAAGGAAAAAAATAAATCTAGTTTTTGGTTCATTAAGTATTACGGCTTGGTGGCGCTAGCCACCGCCCGACCTAAAGGGTACAGCCATATCCATCCATCCATCAAGTGAAGGCCACGAAGCGTGGAGTGAAGGGAGGTTCTAGAATATGGGGGGTTAATCTTATGTGTTCATATTAATCGGAAGCTGTACTCAAGCTGTGTATGTCCTTTTTCAGCTAAATGGAGTTAGTTTATATCCGCGAGTGTTGAAGATTGGGCGAGTTGGTTCGTCGTACTTGAACTGGTATAGCGCATTACGGGGAAGAAGAAACGGCCGAGCAGACCGACACAAGAGGACAGAGCGCTAAACAAGACACAAGAGGACAGAGCGTTCTGTCCTCTTGTGTCGGTCTGCTCGGCACAAGAGGACAGAACGCTCTTCCCTGTAATGCGCTATACCAGTTCAAGTGGTTTATATCCCACGTTCCTTGCAATAAACCTGTTTTGAAAATTGGCACACGATGCTCTGTTTCCTTTTTTGGTGTACCTACATTTGGTGTGGTTTATGAGCATTGTTAATTCCACTACCTTGCTACGCTTTCGACCTTTTCCAGGTGGGCGAGAGGTGCTATCGAGAAAGTAAATTAAGGTAGAACAATAGACACTATGCCAAGTCATTGGCATGCAGTGCCGTTTAATGTAAAATTGCTTTCCGTTATATCAAATAACTATGTAGAAACAAAAAATGGCACACTAAGCCAATGAAACAGTCTAACTGCTAGCATAAAAATACCTACGACTAGAGTGGCACTTCGCTTATTGTTCTGAATGTGCTGCATTGAAAAGGAACTGCAATGCTTCGTCCATGAAACACTTTTTTGTGCCTGAATCCAACAAGACACAGATGAACATCACTTAAAATTTATACAGTCAATACCCCAAAAGATGCTGGCCATTCATGCATACAAATGCAAAAATATGCCCGATTCAAATGATCCCTACACTTGAAGGGATCTTTTGACTAATAGTGTAGGAGTTTTGATCATGATAAATATTTACCGTTGCAATAGTTGAAATGCTTATAAAATACCCCAGAAAATGAATAATTGTGCTATTATGACAACAAAAAAAAAAAAACAATGGCCAATGGGCCAGTGCAGACTGGCAACTGGCCCTCAGTCTAGAGTGATCATCATGTTCTCATCAAGTGAAGCCAGACCTCTGCCAGCTTACCACAAGCACGACCAAATGTTAGCTTACCGCTGGAGAGAAAGTAGCACTTCTTTCACATGCTCTACGAGTTTAAGGGGACTAATTATTCCAGACAGGTACTGCTCAAAGTGCCTTTTTGTGGTAGTGCTTTTCTTAAAGCGACACTAAGGTGGAAAATTAGATCAATGTAAACATAGTGCTCTTACAGAACTCAATAATAATTATTTTATTCTCATATAGTAATTACTAGAAAAAAAATGGAGATTATGAAAGTTCAGTAGGTGAATGTCAATGTGACGTCCAAATTTCAAACACTTTTTGAATATTTTTGCCCCATTGGTTCAATGACAATTTTCTCGAACTTGCTATATTAGTACTTTGGGTCTATCAGAACATAATTCAAACATTTTCGAATGAAAAACAATTACGCAGTTCCTACAAGACACCACTGGAATCAACGCCATGGTGTGGTAAATTTAAGGTGGCATCACTACTTGTATTTTCGGTTTGCGCATTTTCTCGGTTACCAAGCGTCTTATCTCGATAGGAATGGTGGTTATGGCATTATGAAATTATACTTACTAGTAGGAGAAAAGTTTGTTTTTTTTTTTGTCGTTAGTGACCATTTATAAAGCCTTAAGGTATTGGCTAGAGATCATGCTATTGATATCCCTCTGCATAATTACTTTCATTGAGTAATGTGACCTCTCACTTAAAAATTAACCTAGCATTTATGAGTGCAAAATTAACGTGAAGCAAGATGAAGCAAGTCACAGTGGATACCCACAAGGAACATTGCTTTCATCAGTGTAGCGCGGTGTTCTAGCAGTTAAATCGATAACTGTTGACCCGAAGGTTGTGCGAGTCAATCGTAGAGCCGCATGCTCAATGGAGGTGAAATTCTACACACCTTCCGAATCATATTGTGGTTTTGGGATGTAAAAGCTCCAAAATTGTTATTAGTCTATTCTATGTCGATTTCCGAAGTGTAAACACACCCAGCGTTGTTGTGCGAGTGAACCTCAGCTGTACTGGCTGCATCTCAATGGAGGCTAAATAATAGGCAATATTCGGACAATACCTGCACCGTTGTTAGTCTTCTATGCTGTTTTTCTCAGTGGCGAATCTACATCAAGCTGGCATCTTAATAGTGAGAATCCAGGAAAGTCACAAAACCAATGAAACTAAAGGCATGGTTGGCACGTTGCATGACTCTTACAGAGGATGCATTTGAATCAATGAAGTCTTGATACTTGGTAACACTTAGAAACTAGATGAACGGAGATTATGTGCTGAATTCTGACGAGTTACATGTAACAAGCACTCTGATCTGTTCATTTCAGTGAGCGCTCAGTCAGAGAAAAGGAGTGGGCATCAAGGAAATGGGACAAGAAATCAATTGATGATTGATATGTGGGGTTTAACATCCCAAAACCACCATACGATTATGAGAGACGCCATAGTTGAGGGCTCCAGAAATTTTGACCGCTTGGGGTCAAATCTGAGCGCACGAGCCTACAGCATTTTCGCTTCTATTGAAAATGCAGCCGTTGCCGCCGGTATTCGATCCTGCGACCTGCGGGTCAGCAGCCGAGTACTTTAGCCACTAGACCAACGCGGCGGGGTGGAAAAAGAAATCAAGAATAGCTCTTGGTTAGAATGTGAAATTTTTTTAAGATTACAGGCATAAAATGAAATCAGCTAGCGGATCATGCTGGCCTTGACCTGTGGTAGACATAAAATCGGCTAAGAATGATGATGATGATTAATGAAACCATTCGCCATTCACATGACACAGAGACTGCTTACCACTGCATTTCTCTGATAACTACACGACGTGCACACTTGTAGAACTGTGGAAGCTCCTCTGCTCGGAAGACAAAAGAGCTTCAAGTGGCAAGCCAAGGCAGCTGGTTTAATGGACACGATTTTTTGAGTGATCGGCGTCAGACGACAGTCGACCCCCTTCCAGGGCGGGCCCAGGTGCACACATAGCCCTCCTGGCAGGCAGTCACGAGACAGTCTTCCCTGAAGACAAGCGCGGTAAGTCGCTCGGGCGCCACTTTTTTGCAGATGTGCGGCTCAAGCATTGGCACCTCGTCGAGTCGCGGGCAGGCGGGGCTTCCCACCAGACGCTGGTGAGGCCCTACGGTGGATGTGTTGTTAGCGCGCGTCTGTTGTTGCTGCTGCCGTGCCTGCTGCTGGGGCGCCTGTGAAGCGTTAGTGGCATTGGGGCTGTTGCTTCCGGTGAGCAGGAGCGAAGCACGAGGTGCGCGGGGCTGCTTCAGCACGTCCTCGGTTAGGTCCCACAGGCAGAGCTGCGTGTCCTGGCCGACCGAGCCGAAACGGTATGAGGTGTCGGCCGCAGGGCAGTCGCCAGAGGCGTGCCCACCCTCGAGGCAGGCGTCGAAGGCTACCCCTTGCACCCACGACCTGTGTCCCTGGCCACGCGCCACGACGCGTTTGTCCTGGAAGGACCACACCGTCACCAGATCGTCCTCTCCACCGGCAACAACATACTTGCCGTCGGGGCTCCAGCACACACACAGCAGGCCTCCAAAGTAGCTGCGCACCAGACCCACAAGGTCCATTGTGTCATAGCAGAAGATGCGCAGAAAGCCGTCTTGACTAGCTGTGGCAAGGTATCGGGCACAGGGGGAGAAGGCGAATTCGTGCAGTGCGCCGTCTCCGACCACCCAGCGGTAGAGCGGGTTGCGCGTGCTTTTCGTCTTGCACGTGAACACACTGAAGCCATCACCCTGCTTGAAGAGCTGGTAGTGCGGCGGCGTGGAGCCACATGGCAGATCCTCCTTGTACACGTACAGTTGGCCACTGGCGTGTGACACCAAGAACAGGCTGTTTGAGTTGGGCAGCCACTTGAGGCAGGTCACTCGCGTCTTGTCGATGAAGCGTTCATCATTATAAAGCCGACTGAGCTCCTTCTTCACTGGGTCGATGAGTTGCACCTGGCCCGCGGAGAAGCCCACGAGCAGCAGCAGGCCACCGTCAGGTGTTGTCGATGGGTGGAAGTCGTGGCAGGTCGGATACGTGCCCTTGTACACCCGCTTGTCCTAAAGGTTTGCTCAGGTCTGCCGCCTGAAAGAACATGAGTATCCCGTCAGCTTCAGTCGTAATAAAAAGCTTAAAAAGCTTGAGCTATTCATCCAGAAAATTTCTGAAGCAGTCCTCACCAGACGGGTTTAAGGCAGCATAAGGATAGGCTACTGGAAAATATTAAGATGCTATCTGAAAGCACCGGCAATCCAGGTAGTCATTTGCATATAAACCTATGGCCAGTACTGCTCTGCATTCAATCATCTTTCATAACAAAATGCTCATTTACCAAACCCCTACTTCCTTGGATTCCTAAAACTGTTGAGGGTTTTCCACAGTATACGCATTTCAAAGAGTCTGTTGCAGAGAGTTGTTCACTGCCTTATTGAATCCTCTCGCCTTTTACTGTCACAATGCACAAAGCAATGTGCCGTTTGCTTTCACATCTTAATGTAGTATGATGCTCATTGTTTTCAATAAGGCGTAAACGGTGTTTGTGGTGTGCTGACCTTTCTATTGTGTCTGCACAACCAATATTTCAACATGAATACATACCAACCAGCTGAGATAACTAAGTAAACGATAAAACAAGTTATTGTAATGAATATGCTATGAAGTAGCTTACATTTGTTCCTCACTAAGAATGAACATAGAAAAAATTAAGTTTGTGCTAAGCTTGTCAGCAGTATAGCAGCTTGCTAAAATGTAAATTTTAGTGAGGGCGGATATACAAACTGCATCTGTATCTACAGTCCTGTCTAAATTATAATAGCTTATTATCTATTATTGAGTGTGCAAGCCCTATTAACTAAAAATTGGATGTAACATTATACATTTTGTGAGACGTTCCATTGTACTAAGAAAGTGTCAAACTTGAACAGCTGCAATGTGTGACAGTTTAAGCGAGATGATCCATTCTGGCTTCGCCTAATGCATACAAACAAAGACAAAAAGAGAGAACCAGGAAGGACTGATGTTTTAAAAAGGCACAGCAAATAGCCATAAGCCCCCGTGTTATCAATACTTGATAGCTGTATTCCATCTTTCCAGACACATGTGCCATCAAATGGCACAGTCTCATTCAAGTGACTTGCAACACGAGAGCATGTGGTCCCACGAGTTCAAAGGTTGCGCATGGCTCAACTTCTTGTTATTACAAAAATGAAATATTGTTTTCTTCTTTGGGATCCCCCAAGTGAAAGCAACGCGTTCGGTAATGACGATGAGGGCTAGTGGAAGCCATGTGCAATCTTTTATCTTGGGAGGCCACATGCTCTTGTGTTGCAAGTCATATCAAGCAGAACTGTAAACTGCCCCATAGAGTTTCCAAAAATAATTAGAACTCTGGTGCCGTTCAGGCACCAGTGGGAAAGATGCATGGAGGAAGAAAAAGAAAACAGGGAGCATTATGTCATCAGCCAGCCTTAGCAAGTCAACCCGTTTTGAATGCAGTCTGTGTCAGCCTAACACGTGACCTTTTGCAGTGAGGTCGAGCAAGCAATGAGACTTCGGGGTATGGTGGCCGGTAGCTTTCAATCACGCGCTTGTTTGGTGCAGACTGGCCGGCTCTCGCAAGAGGTTAAAAACAAAAACACTACCAAGAGTACTCAAATCTACCGCACTGCTCCGACGTTTTGGCCACATGTTATGCCGACTCGGTCAGCTTCACTCAGTTGATGTAACAATCTCTCCTTTGTTTCTTCCTCCATGGAATGATGATTAGTACACGGATTCGCCTAGCCTTCGTACTTGTGGGCTTCAAATGCACTTGTGGCTTTGTGTATTGCTGTGTTTTGGTTTTGTTTAGAATAAGAAAGACTGGGCCGTTTTGAGCTTTGTGAGCCCATATGAATTAATAAGCCTAAAAGGTTAAGGTGGTGAAGTGCAACTGCTGAACACTTGCTCACTGTCATCTCGTGACAAAGCATCTCAAGGCGGCACGAAGTCGGAGCCAAAAGTCCGAACATCAGACAAATATGTGTACTACCCATCATTCCCATGCTCACTGAGGCGCTGTGCATGGCAGCTCCCATAGACACTAGTGCCAGAGTTCCTTCTAGTGTATTTATCGGAAACCCTATACACTGCCCTGTTTTGTAAGCCTACAGGTTACAATTTACTATGCCCTGAAAGCGAGAGGCATGGCTAATCATACAGGGCAATCTAGTTTGAAACAGTAGGAACTTAATCCTACATATTCTTTGCACCATCATGGCTTATTATGCGATTCAGAGGATACTCATGGGCCTACACTAAGTCTCTCATTCAAGATGAAACCATTGCAGGCCTGTAAATTTTTTAGCTTTTCTTGAATATTTAGTTTTGTGCTTTTCTTGACCATTTAGCTTTTTGCTGTTCTTGATTGCTCTTGCGTTTAGGCACAAAAAATTATGCATGTTCAACGTTCAACACTCGAGAATACAATGCTTAGATGTTAGCCCGGGTGCGGTTAACGTACACTTCTTGGTAGAAGGTGACGCTGTTCTCAGCATTATAGTGACAGATTTAACCTTTAGCGATCACTTCAATAGAGGCGAGGTGGTTCATTCAAAAGGGGCTTCACTTTTACCCATTGGGTCAATTTCCTTCCACATATCTAGGCCAGGTTAAACTCGGAAGTTGCATTTAATCGGGGTTCGGGATGTTCTTATCTGATTGAACAAATGAAGCATCTCCGGCGATCGGCCCGCAGCATGGACCCGAAACTCGGCCGCGCAACTTTACACTACTTCGGAAAGAAGGTACCTTCTTGACACCCCTGTACATGTAGACGTACAGCTCCCGGCCCACATTGAAACAGATACGGTCCTCGGTTCCGGCCGCGTCGGACATCGACACGAAGGACACCTTGACCGGGCTGTTGGACTGGTTGCTGCTGTAGCCGACACGGTTGGGTCTCGAGTATTCGGACAGGCTGAGCACCTTGTATGTGCCTTCTCGCGTCGTGAACTGAGTCTTCAGCTCGTCCTTGCCCGCTCCTTCGGCACCCTGGGGCAACTCGCCGGCAAAGGCGCACGGCGCGCCGAGCTTTTGCTGCTCCGTGCTTGCGCCGCCGGCTGGCGCCCCGAGACTGAGCAATTCGGTCGGCGGACGGCCCACCGTGCCACTCATGTCACTCAGCCGGCACGCTGCTTCAGATGGTGTTCCTCGTAGGCCACCGTCTCATCACCGGGCGCGGACTCCATCCCATGCGAGGCGGCTTCACAGTAGCAGCTCCGCGATCGGCGATCTCAGAACGCGCGCGGCTTACGAGTACGTGACGCAAGCTACACCCGAGCAAGCACGCACTGGGTAGAACATGGCGAACCAGGTGAAACCCTGCAAGTGCAGCCGATTGCGGTACGACATGGGGACGCCGCCGAGCACGAAAAATGCCGAGCAAAAGGAAATGAAACTACGCCATAGACTCTTCACGCCACTAGTTGCGAAACTTGCGTCTAAGAATTAGAAGAAACTCTTGATGATGATGATAGGTTATATAAATAGATGACTTAATACAGTTGTATGGTTGTACCCTGTAGATCGGTCGACGGCTAACGCCATCTAGCCGTAATGCTTATAGTAAATAGTAAAAAAACAACTTTATTTAATTTTTTGTCTCTTTAAATAATGAAGTTAAGGACTGGCACTTTGCAGTGAAGGATTTAATGTTCACTCGTGTCTTGATTGTAGCCAACAATCAGATGACTTCCTTCTAGCCCTCCCTGTCCCTAAACCCCAGTGCTTTGAAAAACTCAGCTCCGTCATCCTGCCCTTTACAGATGATTATCAAGTGTTTGGCAGTTTCCTCCTCCTCTACACACGCACTGCATTTACCGTGTACACCCCTTCTTATTAGGCCCGATAAGTCTTAGTTCGCAATATATTCCCGTCCTGGCCTCAAACAGACGAGAACTACCCCGAGTATTATCATAGATCCTTTCCTTGGCAATTTCCTGCTTAAAAGTTCGATATATCTCTAGTGCGGACTTCTTCATCATGCCAATTCTCCACATATCGATCTCAGCTTCCTTCACCTTCTTCTTAACCTATAATTCATTTTGGTTTCTCCCACGCTGTTTTCTAAGTATTTACCCATCAATTTTCTGGTTCGCTTTCTCCATTTTGTACCGACATTCAAACAGCTGAAAACCTTCCTAGCCCAACTATCCTCCCCCGATTTTTCTCAATCGGTCCTCAAATTTTATCTTGCTGCTAGCATTCCCTGCCCTTCAAGCGATGACCATGCCCTCGATGATGACCGTCCCATATCACCTTGTACTCCCCGATTTGGTGTATTCCTGTGAGCTCCTAAAGCAAGCCTACCTAATCCACGTTGCCTAATTTCTAATCTTGCTTGAACCTTTGATCTCATGCACACGACCGCATTGCAGAACATCAGACCAGGAACCATGACCCCTTTCCAAATTCCTCTCACAGCATCATACCTATCGTAATTCCACAGTGCCCTATTTTTCAACACTGCATTCCTGTTACCTTCATTTGTTACGTATATTTCATGTTCCTTCCCTTAGGTACTTGGTCCCATTGCATATCTATACACCCAGATATTTGTATTTATCTGTTATCTCTAGCTGACCTCCTGTACCTTGAGCTCACTACCTTTATTATCATTAAAAATCACTGCAAGACACCTAGCGGAATCACTGCAATCACTGCAAGACACCTAGCGTCACCCCTGTGCATAGTTTTGTATGCATTTTGAATGAAACTTTATGATTTTGATTAAACTCGGGACTTAAAAAAAAAGCGCATAGAAAGTTATTTTTTGCCAGAGTTATAACCCTGCTTTTTCGTGTCATTGTAATTACTGACATCTAACGTATAACTCGCATGTGTTTTGTTTTCTGGAAAAATTGGCGTTTGCCAACTTTATGTTTGAGAAGATTCAAACAGAGCAAGAGACACAAAAAGTTCAGCTCAGCTCAAAGCTTATTAAATACTAAAAGAGTTTCATCGCTCTTTATGGAAAAGCAAGTTAAAGTGTTTGCATAAATAGCCAAAAGCATTAAGTTTCTTAGAATTAGTACTGTAACTTTCATTTTCTAATTTTATTAAGTAGATGTTGAATATGAAACAACTGGTTTTGTCTACGTCTCCAAAGAGCAACATTTTCAAATTCAACAGCAGGCTGTCACTAGTGTCATAAATGGTTGTCCCCCATAAGCGAAAGATATACTGAAGAACAACACAAGTTTATTGAAAACAATGAACATCATACTATCTTAAGATGTGAAAGCAAACCACACATTGCTTTATGCATTGTGAAAGTAAAAGGCGAAAAATGTCACAGAACATGCTACACAGTGTGATAGATACGTCAGGTTTGTGCATGTTTCATGTCGCACGTTAATGTCATTGGCCATTAAAAGTAGTGTGCATACACTGCCTTTGGTCAAATTAGAAGTTTATCCCGTGTACCTCTATAAAAGAGGGTTTGATTTCGAGAGCCCACTACTACAATAACATGAAAATGCCATATTGTATGTCATCAAACACTTTCATCCAGATGCGTGTGGCACATAACTAAATACGCAGGTCACGTTATTAAGTATGCCCCATAGGTGCGTTTGACAGTTTATATCTACTGAGGAAGGGCGGGAACAGACATTGGTCATTTAAATGAAAGAGCGTTAATGACCCGACTGAATGCAATGAATACATGCAATGGTCCCAGCAAGAATCGAACCCAGGCATTCTGTATGGCAATCAAGCATTCTACCACAGAACCATGCCAGGTCTCAGAACTCCTTTCAAAAAAGACCCTATGCTGGTATAATGTTGGTGAAATGTCACTTGAGGTTGCAGTGCTGCCCATTTGATTTCATAGGCATTACATATCTACTCCTACGATACAGGTGTCATGTCGGGTCAATGTGAATTGTAAGTACAATCTACTGATGCCTATGTAGCACTAGCCAGTATTACCATCGTCACAAGCGCTACATATCTGCTTACAGCTTCTGGTCAATGTGAATTGTAAGTACAATCTACTGATCCCTATGTAGCACTAGCCAGTATTACCATCGTCACAAGCGCTACATATCTGCTTACAGCTTCTGGTATTGGCAGTTACCTATGTTGCTGTTGGCATCTTTACACAACTGGTTACATAAAGCATATGCCGCTGTTCAACATGTGTGTGCGTACAACACTTGCACATATATTTAGCATGATTTTGTAGCATTCCGCTCATTAGAAAGACACGCCACAGTCAGCTTCCCTCCACACGCTTTGCTTAACATCAATATCCATGGATCTGCAGAATTTTTTAGTCATTCGTGTACAGAAGCGTTCACACCACATTATTATCACATCAAACCAGCTTAACTACAACTGGTTTCTGGTGAACGGTGCCATACATTTAGAAGCTGTGTTCATGAGGACTTGTTTTTGGGCTAGTTGGTGCATACTTGGTGCAGAAGACTGAGGCACAAAAAACATAACGTGAAGCAGGAAAAGCAGGAGAGAAGACAGAACAGCTGCTGTTCTGTCTTCTCTCCTGCTCTTCCTGCTTCACGTTATGTTTTTTGCGCCTCAGTCTTCTGCACCTGTGTCCATGATGTCACGTGCAAACTATAGAGTTTGAGGCTTGCAGTGGTAGGCAGTATAATCGCTGGTAATTAAGGATAACTGATTCAATTACAAGAGAAAGTGAACATGTGAGAAGGAGGACAGAAAATTAGGCAGGAAGGTGAGATTAAGAAGTTCAGAGGTATAACGTGTTAGCAGAAAGCACAGGAACATGGGAGAAGCCTTTCCCTTGGAGTGGGCGTAGTCAGGCTGCTGCTGTTGATGATTGCAGTGGTACATGCCTGCGTACTGTAAATACACAGGTTTGATTCCAGTTGTGGCAGTTAGATGGAAGTGAAATGCTAGAGACCCATGTGCTAAGATTATGCGCACATTAAGGGGAGATGCGAGTCGAAAAATGCAGGTTTTTTCTAACATTACAATTTTTTTTTCGTTTGCTATCACAAGTTTAATTAGCTTCCCAATATACTATCACAACAAAAGCAAGTGAAGATTGTAATTAAACTCGGAATAGGTTAAAATTGCTTTTAAAATGCACAATGTGGTTACTAAACTAGAAACGCCAGGCTTGCATGGAAAGCACAGCACAGTCATAGTGAAAGCTAGAAGAGTGGCCTTTCAGAGTTTTTTCTAAACATTATTTGGGTAACTGCTACAAAAACACTACTGGGTAACCACTATGCCATAAATATTTATTTTTTTGTAGTACGCCAGCATTCGCTATGCTACCTTTCGGCATTCTTTGGAGAAGCATGGTATCTGCTGCACACTTTTTAGAAATTTTTGTGCAATTTTTCAATGCAGTGGCTGACAACGATGAAGAATTATGTCTGAAGTGGGTATGTGCCACGTGATAAAGAAAAGTTTTTGTATAGGGTTGGAGCATTGGACCATTCATTTGTTACGCAATTCGCTTTATGTGACGCCTGGCTGTTCCTTTGATGTTCTAAAACATTTTGTTACTTGTATTACTGCGATTCCTTTCCCGACATCAAGCCTGCTTAAGGCCAGTTTAGGCCTTAAGCAAACTTAGTGGTAGAATACTGGGCTGGTACACAGCGGACCAGGGTTCAAATCCCATTGTGTTATTAGAGTTTATTATTTACAGAGTTTTTTTTTTTTTCTTTTCATACTGGTTACGGACAGCGGCGGCGGCGGGCAACTACGGCGCCTCGCGTGACTTGCGTTCTGATCTCGCAACAGCTATCGCTGTAAAAGAGCTCATTGTCTTGAGTTCCCTGGAAATTGTCACCCGATTGCTTGCCATATGGCATTTCGCATCAGTCAGAGTTCAATTGAGCCGCAGCTCAAAATAACAATGATTGCCAGCTCTCATGATGGAAGAAATCATTTTAAAAAACGTATCTTCGCTGCACAGATGAGCTTTGACTTACACCTTTAAAAAGCGTTTTTCTCAAAATGCATTTTTGGACAACTTTCCCAATTTAGAATATGTTTATGGTACTTCTGAAAGCCAGATTGGGATGAAACTTTGCCCACATATTTCTTAACATGTGAAAGGTGCAAGTACCTCCTTTAAAACTTTATATCACCAGTATAATTATTAGAGACCTAAAGCAAACAATTCGTATGGACTGGCAATTCCAAGAATTCTCACAATTTTTTGTCCATTAATATATTTTATACATACTTTTTATTTTAATACTTATTTGCATTCTACAGTTAATGTGGAGCATTATGAGCCATTAATGGCCGAGAGCCATAAAATTTTGCCTAGAGGCATAAACACATTGTTATGGCACAAAACGTAAACTGGGCAACTTCAAAGTAGTTACATATTTGAAATCAGCATAGAAGCCTATATATACAGCAAATATTATGATTGCGATAGGCTACAAATGAATGATCTTTTTTCAGATCGCATTTCACCCTTAAACACACCCAGGTGGTCGCCATTCACAGAACTCTCCACTACAGTGTGCCTTGCTATCACATCATGCTTTTGGCCCATTTAAGCCCCAGAAATGGTTGAGCTCGAGGCACATCGATGAGTAGACAAAGCAATACAGCCAGCGTTTCATAACAAAGCATTACACTCAATTATGTCTCATCACCCCCTCAATAGTCTCGTAAATAATGTGGGCGCACCGGTACTGATCAGTGGCAAGGTGCGGGGAAACACAGCTACTCACCCTGTAGGCACGCTGGAGCATGCATTAACAGAAAACACTATGCTAGTAACAAGATAAATGAAATGCTTTACAGAGTCTTTCTAAAAAGAGATGCTGGCCTTGGCGATAATGCTAACAGATTAGAAGAGTGCTCGGAACAAGCTTGAAAAAGTGAAACCAAAATAGGGTCAAGTCACTTGTGGCGCTGCGGCATTTAGCCTTGAATGTGTTGCCGCTGCACCGGGCTCCATTGGAATAATGCAGCAATATAATGCCTGCTTCCCACTTAGTAAACCTGTGTTCAAAGTGCAGCTGGAATGGTGTTTCATTTTAATGTAACTTGTCTTCTTTTTAACTAGCTTCAGTTGCTATGTATTGCTAAAAAGTAACAGTAGAAAAGAAGTGTACTCTTAAGGGCTTGTCTTTTTTGTTGGACACAAGATTAATAAGATATATGAATCATGCCAAGAAAGTATAGGGGATTTTATTATAAGTAATTGGCTACAGACGGCACTCACTGACGCTCTCATGTTTAATGCACATATACACACCATAAAGTGGTTGGGGGGGGTGATAGCCGTCGTAGCAGCTCAGTTGGTAGAGCATCACGCGTTATTCGAAGGCCGCAGGTTCGGTTCTTGCCCACGACAAGTTACCTTTTCGCCCACTCTTTTTTCATATTTACATTACAATTACTTCTGATAACATACCCCATACTTTACTTGGCATGATTGTCTCTTAGATCTAATGAATAAAAAGTAACAAAATTTTTTTAGTAAAGTACAAGAGATTTGACGATGAGTCAAAGTGTATGCAGCATCACTGCGCGCAAGCTTGAACATACACATAAAGTGTGCCCCCCCCCCCCCCCCCCGAGATTTTAAAGAATAGGAGGCTAAGCATATCTATGTGCAGTACACTGCCCCTCAGTTACTGGCTACTGACTCGCAGCAAAAAAAAAAAAAAAAAACTGAAAGTAGTCGGCTTTCGGTTTGGGGAAAATGGCAAAGGTTTGAAGACTGCAATAGCAGAACCGAATTACAGTGTGTAGTGTTGAGCGATGAAATTTTTTTCCCGGTGGTTGAATAGAAGTCCATTGGCTCGTGCGCTTATTGGACGCCATCTTACTGCGTAATTACAGCGTTGTTTGTTTTTGTTGAACCCGAAGTGGTGGTGCTGCCAATATTCACATTCGCTGTCAAACTTCTTGTGTATTGCTTTACATTTCAGTTTACTTTTTGTGACAATGCGAAGCAATTCAAGCTAGTTTTAAGAAACAAACAAAAATAAATGAAAACCAATGCAGCTGTAACAAGCGACACCAAAAATAAAACCCACCATTTCCAGCTGTGATTTGAGCCCCGGTCTTTTAAAAGTGGAAAGTAGGCATTCTACTTCAGCACCAATTTGGTAAAGTGATGCACTGCTTTTAGACAATAACACATTGCAGGCTACCAATTGCAGTGCCATAAGTAACTTCATCCTCTATTGGCTCACTTTCGGTGCACGGTTCTGCGGCTGTTTTGAGCACTCCACTCGTTCTGGTACACTCAACTTCGGCAGCGCTGCCTATTCTCCTTGTCATGGTCCTGTTCAGAAACTGCGAATCTTGACCATTCCACACCTCTGGACCTCCAGTAGTCATCAGAAACAATGTCCCCTTACCAGGAGTCCGGACAATGCTTTGTTACCTAGAACCAGCAGCACTGTTCCATTACCAGGAACTCAATGTTCCATTATTTTATTTATTTATTGATACTGTCGATCCCATCAGGGATCATTACAGGAAGGGCATATTTGGCTTGCTACTATATAAAAATACAAATAGAAAACATTGATTGATTTGTGGGGTTTAACGTCCCAAAACCACCATATGATTATGAGAGACGCCGTAGTGGAGGGCTCCGGAAATTTCGACCACCTGGGGTTCTTTAACGTGCGCCCAAATCTGAGCACATGGGCCTACAACATTTCCGCCTCCATCGGAAATGCAGCCGCCGCAGCTGGGAATCGAACCCGCGACCTGCGGGTCAGCAGCCGAGTACCTTAGCCACTAGACCACCGCGGCAGAGCGATAGAAAACATTAAATTGCACGGAAAGAAAATATTGGCAGTTAACAAGATATATAGGGAAACGTAATAGTACATTATAATAATAGTACATCCTAATATGGAAAAATAAAAGGTGATCAAAGAGGCATACAAAAGGGAAAACTGAAGTAAGAATACAGTGATGTAAGAAATGGTGAAAATAAAATGAAGTGACAATGTTTAGGATAAACAAAATTATGGGTACAGTATAATTACAAGAGCAACTATGTATAAGTAATGGTGACACAAGTATATCATAACTGGACAGCATGTAGATGATTTTCAAGCAATGATATTAAGGAGGATAACATTTCATTACTAGGGACCTGTACAATTTTTCATTAACCATAAAGATTGTTCAGATGTGGGCAGTTCCATTCGACAAATTATCTCCCTGAAAACTGATGTAACACTATGTAGGCTTGGTTAATGCCGAAAGAACATCCCGGAGAACTTGCTTGCCCAAGGAGCTAAGCTCATTCCATTCCTCCACATCATTTTGAGGCAGAGTAGGCGACGAATTAAACAGCCAAGTACAACGTTCGACAAAGGCTGTCAAGTCCAAAGTGTCGGGTGCCGTCATAGACCGTTGCAGCTTCGACCTAAGGAGAAAAAGACCCAAAAGTGCCAGGTTCGCTTTCAGAGTCACGGGGTGCATTGTATCGGCCACCACTTTCTGAACGCAGAAGTCCAACAGCGATGAGAATGAGTCCAATGTTTCGGCTCCGAGTACAGCTAGGTTCAAGAAAACGCCCGCACAAGTTTCGAGCTGTTGTGGAGAGAGACTCCACTCGGTTAGGTAGACGAAGAGACAAGCCAAGACTGGTGACTTCAGCACGATGAATCGCAGCGTATCGTCGGCGGTGAGGTGACACAGGGCGGGAAGGATGAGCGGTAGCATGGATTCATTAGAGGCAGCCAATTCGAGGAGTGGTGCCAGCACTTTGCCAACCTTTGGCCTCATGGTCGTAGAGTCGTCTGCCAACCAGCGACACAGCAGACGACAAGCGGGCAACACCACAGCTTGTCCACGGCCCCAAGATGAAGACTGAAATGCCTGTCAACAATAACAATAAAAAGATGAGAGCTCCATTAAAGGTTCCTTGTAGCAACTTACCCAAGCTACTACATTAGTTCAAAGGACACCAAAAAGGAAAACATTTTCTTATATTAGTAGGTTACTTTTTCATGAAACAAAAAAGACCATGATTCTTTCGAGAAGTTCACTTACACAGCAAAGACAACGTAATCAAAATGTTGCAAAAAAAAAAAGACACAGACCTCGTCAAGTCGTTATGTGGCTTTTCGTCTGTGTTCTTGTTATCTGTACCACGTATAGATGCGAAATAAAGTTCAAGTTCAAAATTAAAAGTAATTAGCAACCAGCACTTGCCTGCACTTCTATTTATTTATTTATTTATTTATTCATGATACCTTACAGGGCCCGATAGGGCATTGAGTAAGGGGAGCAAGTACGAAACAAAAAATATCAAAGATAAATGCATTAATAAATACAGGGAAACAAAATTGAAAGAGAAAAAAAAAAAAAGTACAGTGCATACATATGTACAGTGCAAAGCATTTTCAAACAGAGGAACAGCATTTCTTATTCCATGAAACAATTTTTCGCCAATCACACACACTCGCAAAGGAAAGAATGGCGGAAGAATTCGCGAAATAAAAAGTAATGGTGACGACATGATACTATTTCAAGAAATGCTTACGCAATTGGTCAAGAAATGCTTGATGGTTACTGATAGATGCAATATTGTCGGGAAGATCATTCCATAGAACAATGGCTCGAGGAAGTGCTGATGAATTGAAAGTGTTAGTTCGTCCACTGATGTGTTTAATGCTATATTGATTATGCAAGCGGCGTGATATGCGTGAAGGCGCTTCCAGTGGTAAGGGAGATGGCCTGATGCTATAGCGATATTTATGGAATAAAGATAAAAGAGAAATGGAACGACGTACAATTAATGGCACAAGCGGTATGTCATGTTTGATCTGCGTTATGCTGGAATGTGGGCTGTAGTTGGAAGTAATGAAACGAGCGGCTCTGTTTTGTACAGACTCAAGCTTGTTAGTCAGGTAGATTTGATGAGGAGACCACACTGGTGAAGCATATTCTAATTGCGGACGAACGATGGTTTCATAGGTGAGTTGTCTTAGACTGCTTGGTGAGTTCCACAAGTTCCGGCGCAGGTATCCAAGTGACCTGGATGCCTTGGCAGTAATGGTGTTAATATGCATGTCCCATGAAAGATTGTGCTTGAGATGGACGCCTAAATATTTATACGATGATGCCTGGGATACTGATGTGCTATCTATGAGGTATGAAAAATCGGAATTGATGCGCTTGCGGCTGAAAGTGATAACCTTGCATTTAGTAGAGTTAAGACTCATCTGCCATTTGTCACACCACTTTGCAATTAATATGAGATCATTTTTAAGTACGAGGTGATCTTCGGTGGATTTAATTGAGCGGTAAATGATGCAGTCGTCAGCGAAAAGACGCAGGTTAGAAGATATGCCTGTAGGTAAATCGGTAATGTATATTAGGAACAGTAAAGGACCAAGGACACTGCCCTGGGGCACACCTGATGTTACGTCACAGAGAGATGAGGTAAAACTGTTAGCTGAAGTAAACTGCTGACGGAAAGAAAGAAAGTTACGAAGCCATGATAATGTTAAAGAATCCAGACAGAGAGCTGATAATTTCGAGAATAAACGCGAGTGTGCCACACAGTCAAATGCTTTGGCAAAATCTAAAAAAATACAATCCGTTTGAAGATTAGCGTCCATGTTAGAGTGCAAGTCAGTTGTGAATTCTAGCAGCTGCGTGTCACATGACAGTCCTTTTCTGAAACCGTGTTGCTGAGGAAAAAAGAAGGAATTATGTTCAAGATGAGCGTAAATATGGGAGGCGATAATGTGTTCAAGTAACTTACAGCAAATGCATGTTAGTGATATGGGTCGGTAGTTATGCGGGGAATTTTTATTACCGCTTTTGAAAATTGGGATGACCTTCTTTTGTCGTGTCTCCATGAGCATAATTAGCAACTTGCCCAAGAGCTCCAGCATAGTGTACGAGTTCTCATCTCCAGACAAATGCTGCTGTTTCACTGTTTCACATCTCTGATAAATTTGGTTTGGTTTAGCAACACATTCTGATCCCTCAGGGCTGACTTCTGCGAGGAGCACCAAGAAACTATGGGCTCCCAGCTCTATTTAACCGGTGTGGGTACCTATGTGTTCGAATCATTGAGAAGTTTCCCTCACAGAAATACACGGGGCTGTGCCGGGGCCAGGGCATTAGTACAAATTAACAGAAAGCTCAAATTACTTGACCTTAAATTAATGAGCTCTTACTGCATTGACATTAATTTTCTTATCTAATAATAAACCTACGGTGACACAGTTAACAGCACTACAGTTTTCAGAGTACAATTTATCAGTCCAAATGAATCCACTCTCTCACTTTGGAGTTCCTTTCAAAAGTGTTCCTCCATTAGAAATACTTAACAGCATTACCGTTTAGGACAGGGGTTCTCAAGCATGTTGGTGCTAGGAAACCCTGCTAAGCTACATTAAGTGCTAAGACTCTCTCCCCCCCCTCCCCGCCAAACTTCTTTCATTTCTTTATTTTCAATAAAAATAAAATGCACTGAGATGTGCTTATTGACGCTCGGACATGAATAATGGAGGTTTCCTAGATCGATCACACACCTCTGGATCGCCATCTAAGCTAATCGAGTGGGCGATTGCAGAACCAGGAAAAATTTATCAGTGGCTGGCGGAATTCACTTTGAGAACCCCTGGTTTACAAAACCTCATTGCCAGGCGAGCTGGTGCATACTAACATAACTGCATTACGCACGCATAAACCTGACACATACAAACTGGCCTGTGTCTAGTTTATACGTGCGTTGTGCAGTTATCCCTCTTGTGATAGCGTTACCGTTAACGATACTTACTGCGCAGTCTGCCAGCGGGTGAAGTTTAGTAGGCTTTGTTAGTTTTCCATACTGCTGTTGTTGATTACCATGACAGAATAGCCACGGGGCCGAACCTAGATTTTCTGCTTCGATTCCAACAGACCCTTTTCATAACCCACATGTGTGCTTCGCTGAACATGATTGTTTGCTTAACTAATGAAGGCACCAGTTGTTCTCCAAGCTGGAGACAAGCTCCTTGTTGCACATGCTGCAGATTGTATAATATGTGTGCTTATATCAACAGAGCCCAGCCTAGATTTTCTGCGTCAAAGAGCAAACAAACTGCACTTGAACATGCTGTCTGCATTATGTAGCCAGCTGCCATTAGCTGGGCTAACCTGCGTTGGAGTGAGTCAGTAGACTGTCAAATCAGTCATTTCTTGGTCTGCCCGAGTATTGACCATTAAAAACATTGAGATCAGTGTAGCTGAAAATGCAGCATAAGAGCAGTAACGAAGATTTAGAGCGACTGTCTACCAGCCCATAACTGTTCTTCTGTTTTGTGTCGCAATGAAAAAGGTACCCTCCGGAGTGTCACACCTTGTAGCGGTTTCTCTGGACAGTGTGTAGAAATTTTTAAAACAGAATTTTTCTATCTGCATTCTGTCTCCTAACGGTGGGACGAATGCCCACAATACTGGTCGATTCAGGCGACGACAATGTGCTGCCGGTGAAAGTCAAAAAATGAAATCACATGCGGTTTTAGCAGGCTCGAAGTTTTCATTCATAATAAAAGTAATACCTTAGTGGATCCCTTAAAGCTGGCAGACATTTTTGTTGTTCTTGTGAAGAGCGGCAGATGCAGTGCTCACGTTTCTCCACTGTTTGCAGGCAGGCATGCAGGCAAGCAAACATACTGGCAGTAGCGCCACTGGGCGCTTTTTTGAACGCATGGGCAGAAAAAGCAAAAATTACTTTCTGGTGCAACATAAAGCTGTCTCAAGTGCATAAAATAAAATTTCCCGTTAGAGATTGTTTTTAAGCAAAATGAGTCTACCTGCAGGAATTTGTTGTCCTACCAGTGGATTAAAGCACACTGCTGTTGGGTAGTGCTAGTAGTCATTCTGTGTCAACATTCAACATCAAATAAATTTTATAATTATTTCTGTACGAGACAAAACCAAATTGTTGCCGCCAATGTGATGAACGATCTTCTCATTTTTGCCACAATCAAAAAATTTTTCGGAGCCATAGACAGTCCCTTCAACAAAGTAGTGTATTTGCTGTACCATGCCCCTTCGTAGACTCACGAAAGGCGAAGAGCTGCATTGCATCAAGAAAATATTGCATCCCTTGGTCCATTGCATCCCTTGGTATCCATCGCTTTGCTTATACTGCTTATCAATTGTCTGTTCTCTGCATTACGTGGCCAGCCAAGGTCCATTTCTTTTGCTCGAAACCAACTAGGACAATGGAACATAACATGACAGGAGGACTGCAGAACAGGTTAGAGAACAGACATGGGTTGAAGATATATTAGTTGCAGCTTACCATTGTGAAACAACTATCAAAACAACGAATTCTCTTTTGGGTGGACCCGTTGCCTATTCCTGGTGCAGGTTTTATACAAGATCCACAACACTTGAACCTCGATACAATGAACCCGGATATAATAAAATATTGGTTATAACAAAGTAAACTAAGAATAGTCTTGCTATATAGTGTTTGGTATAAACCTTTATAACAAATTTTTCGGATATGACGAACTTAATTTCGTGTAAAGTGCAACTTCGTTATAACGAGGTTTGAGTGTATGTGACTGCGCAAAAAAACTAACGGAAACACAGCAGGAGAGAAAAGCGCAGTCAGGCGAGGTCCATTCATACAAGGGGCGGTGACGGAGGGATCACTGAAAAGCACGACACACTTACCTCGTCCAGAAAAGCGAGCAGGGCACCCGGCACGCGATCGGCAGCGGTCGGGGGCAGCTTCCCGCTCGCCACGGCGTCGTCCACGGCCACCTCCAAGAGCAGGCAGCAGTTGACCACCAGTTCGGCGTCCGGCTGCTCCCAAGAGCACAGCTGCATCTCCAGTTCAACGGCGGCCAGTGCCACCGTCGGGGCATCTAACGACTGCACACCCCGACGTTCGACCAGCGACGCGAGCAGCGCGAACAGGCCCCTGCCGCGCGCCCGGGCCCAGCCTTCCCGACAGGGCCTGACCGACGCAGATTCGCGCCGACGACAGCAGTCCGGACTCCCAGTCGTCGGCCGTTTCCCCACTTTCGGATCGAGCCGCAGACGAGCCGCCAAGGCGGCGAGCAGGGAGCCCAACTCCGCCGGCGACAGATCGACCAGCGTCTTCAGCAAGCCGCTGCTTGACGAGCGCCCGGCACCCCGGCTCGTGCAGTACGAGACGCGACGCGCATTCGACGCCCGCCGCGACTCCCAGGTCGGCCAGGGAGCCCGCGAGTGCGTCCACTGCCGGTCGTAGCCGCTCGCACAGGCTCGGCTCGATCGCGAACGCACACGTCGCATCGGCGCCCAGAGTTCGGAAGGTTTCTGTGTCGGACTTCAGCATCCTCAGGATGTAAGACACGCCGATGGCATCCAGCAGCTTCCCGAAGGCTCTCGAGCTTCACGCCTAGAAGGGTCCACAACTTTGGTCACGACGAGCAGGGCGGCCAGTTTCTCCTCGTCCGAATCGGACGAGCGTAGGGCGCGCAGTGTGTGCTTCAGCAGTCGCGACGTCTTTTTCGACTCATTTCTCGACGGTGCAGCAGCGTCACACCCTTCCGAGCTCATTCTGTACACTTTATCGCAGCCTCTCGCTTGTCCCAGAGAACACCTACCGCTTTGCTTGTCCTTTCTATGTAGCGGTGGTAGTTGACCAAGTCTGGCGCTGATCAGGTAGAGTCCCCCCAAAAAAACATTTTTTTTTTTACGGCGTGCATTCTGAGCGCTACAATATAGCTACATAGAAGTACGATACGTATAGTTTACCACAGATTTAAAGTTTGCAAGCACGTGAACATAGAGTTTTATACAATTATTGTACGGAACTCTATGCACGTGAATCGAAGAACACCACAGAACACCTACCAGCTTGGCCTGGCTTGGCTACCTTTGCCTAATTTTGAGTTTCTGCCGTTTTTGTCTATGGATCTCAAGCCAACATATCTGACCAAGCCGTTGCAGACGACGCTAATAAATGCCTAATTTATGCATGCTGAAAAACAAACAAGCAAATTATAATGCAAAAATACTTTTAAAAATAAACAAATTTGTTTATACTTAAGTTTGGTTATAATTGTGCAACTTTTATGTTGTTTTATAGCAATTTCATTAGCATAATTGAGTGCAATTTGAAACAAATATTTACGCTGTTAAAGCCTCTATAACTTTGTGTGGTTAAATTTATTGTAATAAATTGTTTTAGTGTCTGAGGTTGCTTAAAACATTGTTTTAGTGACGCTGTTTAAAAAATAAGAACCTAGTATTAAGCTAGTTCATACATTTGGTAGAGACTCTGGCGGCTGTCGGCGAGACAACAATTTTTTTTGGGGCATGGCTAAGCATAGCCTTTAAGATAAGTAAAGTTGTGCGTTTGTTATCTCAGAGGTCATGTCCCGCATTTCATTGGTTTGACTTCGCTTGCCACACTAGGCCAAGGAATAAGGAATGGCGGGATCTTCGCGTTCGCGTTCTGACTTGTTTTGCAGATTGTACTAGCGGTGAATTCTACAACATTGTTCAGCAGAGCGTTCATATTATCCTGAATATCGGGAAAAATCGGCACACTGTAAGTAGCTCCCTGTTTCAGTGGTTGAAAGTGCACGCAAAGTTTAGAAAGCGCGTCGAGAGTTGCAGCTGATAACAGACGGCTCGTGCCGTATGAGTAAACCAACGTTGGAGTAAACTCGACAGAAGTGACAAAAGTTCGTGAGTTGTTCTACCGACAGCTTTCGAAAGATATAGGTGTGCGGCTTTGTTTGAATGTCGCACTTGGAACGACTTTGCGATTTTTCCTCTCAAACTACGATCAAATTATTTAACAAAGCGCGAACAACAAACAAGCCCACACTCGCTTGCAAAGCGATCCGCTCGCGTTGGCCAACAGGCGGTGTAACAGTTTTACGCGTGCGTGTGTTTCAGCTACCCGGCAGCCGATCTTCGTCGTCTGCGCCACGTTCCCTGGGACTCTGGACAAAGCGCCAAGATGACGGACGTCCAAGAAAGAGACGTCGTGGACTACGACCAGGCAGAGAACTTCGGGCCGCTGAAAATACAGAAACTCGAGGTAAGCAGGTCAGCTTGGCCTGCGATCCGATTACGCAGCGTTATTTTGTTCCTGTTATCGCTGGTTTGACTCAACAAGCAAGAACAACAGATCGTAGAAGTTGGGTCACAATGCCATAATCGCTTCTGAAAGCTTACCATTTCACATTCCATCACCACATAATGCCGTACCTTGCAAAGGGGATAGTATCGCCAAAGGTGATTCATCGGGAACATCAGCTCTTAGTAAAATGTACCTTTATTCTGCAATGCGATTTGTTACTAAAAAGTGCTGCATGTTTCTTATCGTGGCGTGTTTTTTTGTTTGTTTGTTCATCAAAGCTTTACTCTTGATTTCTGTAATGTTCTTGAGGTTTGATTTGTTTCACCACATCAATAGATTTGCAAAAAAAAAGCACCATTTGCAGTGAGGATAGCAGGGTAAAAGTTACAATGGTAGCAAGATGTGGTGCTGAAACAGAAGGTAATGTCAAATTGGGTTAATTGAATATGCTCGTGATGGTAAGCACATATTAAAACAGTTCTAGCGATAGGCGAAATTTGAACTCTCAAAGGAAAACTTGGAAGCATTCTAGACACTCAAGATGTCGCTCTTGCATCCGAAAACAAAACATTTAAAAACGCCACATTGAAAATTGAAGCTTTAGGCATTACACATAAAGTTTCAGCTGCTCGCTTGAATTTATTAGTACAGGGAGGGCGGGGGGTCAGAGGTTTCCAGGCTTATAAAAGCGTGGCCGGGAACTTTTGACCAGGATTGTACATTGGGTAGGTAATACTGTAGTAGCCGTGGGCTGTAGTTTGTGTCTGGTCATGACTTAGAATCTGTGTGTTCCTTATTGGAGACTGCTCTTAACTGAGCAAACGGGAACGACCAGGTGTTGGACATCATAGTCCGAAATCAAGAAAAGAAATGGTCATGGGCAAGGCACGTAGCGCGAAGGCAAGATAACCGCTGGTCATTAAGGGTCACAGACTGTATTCCAAGAGAAGGCAAGTGGGTAAAGGAGAGACAGGTAGGGCAGATTATATTAGGAAGTTCACGGGTATAAAGTGGAAGGAGCAAGCACAGGACCGAGTTGACTGGCAGAACATGGGAGAGGCCTTGGCCCTGCAGTGGGTGTAGTCAGGCTGATGATGATGACGATGATGACTGAGCAACCCCTGACGCTCTTTCCTGATGCAGGGCAATGGTATCGGGGCAGCAGACATCCGCAAGCTCGAAGAGGCAGGCTTCCACACCGTCGAGGCCGTGGCGTACGCGCCCAAGAAGCAGCTGCTCACTATCAAGGGCATCAGCGAAGCCAAGGCCGACAAGCTGTTGGCTGAGGCGGCCAAGATGGTGCCCCTCGGCTTCACCACGGCCACCGAGATCCACCAGAAGCGCTCGGACATCGTCCAAATCACCACGGGCTCTAAGGAGTTGGACAAGTTGCTCGGTGGCGGCATCGAGACCGGCTCTATCACCGAGGTGTTCGGCGAGTTCCGCACGGGAAAGACCCAGCTGTGCCACATGCTGGCCGTCACCTGCCAACTGCCCATCGAGCACAGCGGTGGCGAGGGCAAGTGCCTCTACATCGACACCGAGGGCACTTTCCGGCCCGAACGCTTGCTCGCCGTGGCCGACAAGTATGGCCTGTCGGGGCCTGACGTGCTGGACAATGTGGCGTACGCACGCGCGTACAACTCAGACCACCAGACGCAGCTGCTCATTCAGGTCTGTGGTCGTTATGCTGGCCTTTGCCATCAACTGCACCATAAGCTTAAGTTGGTTTGCGCTGCAGAAATTCACTTTGCAGGTGAACCACGTGTTGGAAATGAACTGCACCAGATTACTTACTTGGACTGGTTGATACGTGTCCGTAAAAAACGAGGAACAATATGAACGGCAAGACGGGAGAGGGACTGAGCAGTTGAACCATTTTTTTGTCATGTTGTTCACGCCGTTTATTGTTTTCTATGGACTACTATGAGAAGCTGCGCAACAGTATTTCAGAAGCAACTGGCTACTAGTATCCATGAATGAATGCAATGGAGCGAGTTTCGTAAAACCGCCACGTGAGGGCCAGTGTTCTTTTTAATGTGCTAGATGCCAAAATGCCAACAAATACTCACTGAATGACAACATGCAGCATCAACTAGACTAAGTTTCCTTTAATGATCCAGCATATCGTTTTCTAGATTGTAAAAGGCAAAAACCGCGTGAATGTATGATCAAATAGCTCAACAAACTACATTTCTAGATTCAAGCTTCATTGTGAAACTGGGACACCAGACCTGGTGTCAAGTAAAGATGGACATGTTTGCTAGAGGCAGATGTAGGATTTCATTGACCATTTGTTTTCCATGTGAATATGATATAGAGGTCAGATAGTAAGACTTTATGTTACAAGAAATGTTGCCTGGTAGAATTGGATAGACACATCATATGTGGTAAGTGTTTCACCTGTTGCTAAGAGATAATTTCTTTGCTTTGACCGATGGGATTGCAGGCATCGGCCATGATGGCAGAGACCCGGTACGCACTGCTCATAGTTGACTCGGCCACGGCGCTGTACCGCACCGACTACTCTGGCCGAGGTGAGCTGAGTGCACGGCAGATGCATCTGGCACGGTTTCTGCGGATGCTGCTCAGGCTGGCCGACGAGTTTGGCGTTGCGGTGCTCATCACCAACCAAGTAGTTGCTCAGGTGAGCATTTGTCGCACCGTCCCAAACCAAGTGCACACAACTCATTTACCAAAACTGCTGGCTTGTTCTGCCACACATTTAACACAGATGTGCATTTTGTAGAGTGGATGTAGTTCCACTGGAGCAAACTTTGTACTTTTTTTTTACTTACAACAAATGTTCGGTTCTAGAAACGTTGGAATAAAGGGAAGCAGTGACAAGTCTTAAATAATGTAATGCAGTTGTTGCTTCAGTAAGACCACTTTCGATTTAATGTCCAGGACTTGTGTGCATAGTGACCGAGACGATGTTTTCGTGACAGTGTGACTGTTTTGCAACTATCGTGCTACTTCACTTATCCCTCTGCACTATGCTGCTACGTCACACTTTATACTGACTGGCAACACACTGGACATAAGAGCGAGTGTGAAAGTGTCACAACATTTGGGAACACCTCTCCTGTAGCAACACACATGCACCCCATCCCCTAACCCCCCCAAGTTTAAAACTAATAGCTTAAATCTTCACCTGCAGTGCCATTTGGTTCATTTATTAGCCACATTAAAACCTTTTTATGCACTCTACCTGATTTTTGCATATCAACTGTATTTATTCTCTAGTTCAAGCTGAGACTCTAGATCAGCAAACTGTTTAATCTGCCGGCAACTTGCATTATTTCGCCAGGTGGACGGAGCCGCCATGTTTTCTGCCGACCCCAAGAAGCCTATCGGTGGAAACATTATGGCACATGCTTCTACAACGAGGCTTTACCTGCGCAAGGGACGCGGGGAGACCCGCATCTGCAAAATCTACGACTCGCCGTGCCTACCCGAGGCTGAAGCTATGTTTGCCATCACACCCCAGGGCATATCCGACGTCAAGGACTGACACCTTCTAGTCAAGTAGACGCTGCACGTACAGCAGGACACTGCCACTAACATTGGTGAGATGTGACGCACACGTGACTGGCTCGGCACATTACTGCATTGAACTGGGCATTGAAGCTCGTTGGTTGGAGGACAGTGTCAACCAAAGAAATCTCTCTACGCTGGGACTAAAGTCATCGAGTCTCATGGTGCAGCTTCAGAATGTACACGTACTGACTAAACAATGTCGTTTCGCATCCCTTTGTCGTGTTTCCGTGTGTACTTTTTGGGAGATCTTGCGCAAATACTTGAAAGTAATATAAAAACCCAAACGAAACTCGAAGGGGTGACATTGCTTTTCTTTTCCGGATGCAGTAGACCCTCATAAAGTGGAACCTAATGGGACCAGGAAAATATTTATTGTTTGACAGTAGTTATGATTATGAACAGGGGCACAAAATGCACTCAGGAAATCATCTTAGTTATATTATAGTTACAGCATGACGGCAGTAAGAACAAACAACATGGACAGAAAAGAGTGCTGGCTTTCAACTGAAAAAGCGAGATTATAAAGCATTTTTTATCACGAAGGTCACGAATCGATGCATCAGTACACCATCACTTCACCTTTCTGTGAGAGAGTATTCATTTCTGAGTTAACAATGTTATGCACATAGTCGTACACGTATTGTTGTGCATGCGCACTGATCTTGCATCCTGTATTACAGTGGCCAGAGCACCTTCAATAAATTCAGTTGAAAGTCGGCGCTCTTTTCTGTTGGCCGAATTACCTCCTTTCCCTTCTCTCCCGCTTCCTGTGCAGTGCTGTTGACAGTGACCGCCCCTGAGAGACGGCGCTGCACTTTTTTCCTGCATTTTTCTCTCTTTAAATGCCACTCGGTTGAAGCTGCTGCTTGCGGGCACGGCTGCAAACAGGATGAACGACATCGCTAACTGTGCTTCCAATGGCGCGCGCACTTGGATGCGACGTAACTGACAGGAGCAGCCAATGGAGTTGTTAGCGTTTTTCGGGGCGAACGGCTTTTAGTTTCGCCTAGCCACATATACAGCTTTCACCGTGAAAAGTTGTCACATCACTGAGTGTCGCACTGTCATTCAACTTTTCCTGAGCTGGCGCAATGTCACAAAGTTTTGTCCAAAGGTTATCTCCCCACTTCTGCTCTTCAAAGTGTCACGCCAATGTTTATCGTTGCAACTCGTAAGTCAGTGTGTCTCTTAAACATATGGTTTCTACAGGCCTTAGGTGCACATTGTCATGCTATATAATATCCAGCTGAAAAACTTGCAAACAATGTAAAAGTTCTACATCACAAGTCCTGTAACAGAGTTTGAAACATGAGGTCCATCCTATCTGCCCCACTTCAAACTGGTTATGCAGTAGTTCACAAGTAGACAAGTGAAGCTCACTTGCAAATAGCATTGTTGCATGGAAGCATAACGGTTGCGAGGCGTGCATAGTGTCACTGATATGCAGTGTTGCCAGATTCTACTGGGGCTAACAAGCTAATGAACATCACAAAGGATGCCCAAGAAAAGCAGCACGACTGTGGCAAAGAAGCAGAAGCTTAATGAACCTTCCCATCCTTGAGATTAGTTTTAATAATATTAAAAAGTGTCCTCAAATACGAAGGGGAGCTGAAAAGATCACACCAAAAATATGTGCAACTATCAATGAAGACACTAAAGTTACGTTTATATATTGTCTCCATTCGGTTAAATGCATGTTTGCCAGTGCTGGATTAATGTTACTTGTTGATTCCCCCAATGTAGGTTTGACTTCATTGCTCACCTACGCACTGTCATCTATAATCACACCATTAGCAACGACAAACATGCTATTGGTAAACGTGATCTTCACTAAAATAATATTTGCTGGAAAAATGCTACCCCCCTTTAAAATGCTGCAAGCAACTGTAAAATTCTACGAAGGGACTGGGCAAAAAAGCTTAAGTCCACTTACTAAAAGCAGAACTAGTAACTTTGCTTATATGTCAGTACTTATTGCAAATAGCAACAATTGTCATGCTTTTGCTATTCATCTCGACGTTTACTGCAAGTTAAGTTTATTTCTGGGTTAAGTTTATTTCTTTCTCGAGACAACGCAAACTTTGTTGCTGCCCACTACCTTAGTTGCTTTTACTGTTTTACTGTTGCCAGCAGCTCCAGCTGCTTACCTGGGCAACTCCATACTGTCAAGGTTGCAGCACTGTCGCCAGTGAATCGCTCTCGTTAGCTGCCTTGGTGGTCTTGCAGCTCTGCAGCGAGAAAATGTGACGATGACAGGCATGGTCACTTGTTTTTTTTTTCAGGTATGCAGGGGTCTCAGTGAATGTTTCAAATCGGTCAAGATGGGCTCTCGAGGGTCTGGCTATCGGTGTAAGAAGCATTACGTATCTATGACTCTTCAAGCTACAGTTGAGCATAGCACGAATACGCCTACGAGCACTGCTTATAATATGCACGTCATCACTCCAAAGCGTGCACTTCCTGACCATTAAACTGACAGTCTCTGCTCTACCCTTTGTAGGCTATGTGAGGTTTTACGTCCCAAAACTGCATCATGATTGTGAGGGGCACCGTAGTGGATGGCTCCGTAAATCTGGTGCTGATGTGCACCAACATTGCAATGTACACGGGACTCCTACGGCAGGGATCGAACCTGCGACCTTTTGGGTCAGCAGTTGAGCACCCTAGCCACTGATCCACCGAGATGGACTCCTACGTGCCTAGCTAAGCCTACAGTATGTACACTACTTGATTTGCACGAATACGTCGGAGCACCTCGTAACGCTTTGGTCAAGGCGAGAAATCTGGCATTGCCTCCTACTGCCTTGCATAAGGCTGATTACCACAATGAGAGGGATCTGGCAGATTTTTTGCTCGTCAATTCTATTGCACCCCCTTATGATGATGATAGTGCCTGCAACACATTTGAAATCCAACTGAAATAGATGGCACACAAAATACTAAAAATTGAAGGGCCCAAATACAATGCAAGGGGCAAACTGTACATGAAGTTTATAGAAACAAAAAAACTCGAGCCCTATTTAAAATGCTCGTAAAGGAGGCCTTAGCACATTCATTGCCTAAGCATTAGAAAATGTGACTGAAATGTTGGCATGCTTCTGCATAGGTAAGCGTACCTGTGAAATAAGGAAGCTAAGCAACAACTCATGCTTGCGTGAAAAGTGTTCACGTATATACGTCTACATTTAATCAACTTAAACAATGCAATTTCAGTGTATGAGCCTAGGTTTACATACAGTGTTTCACATCTTTCTGATATAGAAATAAAATAACTTCCAGCCCACTGCAATTCACCGCTTCTGTAAGACTTTCATTCTAACATTTATACACACATGTAATAGGGGAGATTCGTTACGTGAGAGTTTGTTAACAAAGAGGCCACCATTCTCTGAAGTTCTAGCTAAATTCATTGATCGTAAGCGAATGATCAGCATTGTGCGCAGGTGAAAATCCTGTTTCCAAATAAAAATCTTCGGTTTGTGTGGGAACCGCATCTAGGACTTGCATGGCAACGAAGTGTCCTACCACTGCTTACCAATACTAATGCTTAAAGGTTTTACGAAGAAGCAAACACCATAAAATGTCATTGTATAAGAAGTTTGCTTAATGCTTGTAATATTCCATGGCAGAAGCATAGAATCGCAGCAGGCAGTCACCGCACGTGGATTGCACGAGTGGATTGAAGTCCCACAAATCGGAAAACGCAAAGGCACGAATCATCAGCCTAAAGCAACAGCAAAGTGTGCAGGTGCTTTCGTTCCGTTATGCATGCGTAGTTCTTATGTATGCTTTGTCCATCTGCAAGAAAAAAGTGTTATGGCATAGTGGGCACTTCACAACTGTGCTTGCAGTAGGCATTCAATGATCATTTGAAACGGTCAATGTTACACACACAGACATTAACTGCCTTGTGGCATACTATCCACTCGGACACCAAAGCCAGGCTGGTGACATATATTGAGATGCAAGCTACTGCATTCTACTTTTGAAGGTGAAGTTCAAGCGTTCTCCATACTTATCTGTTTAATGTATGGCCACTTCTCATCTCCATATTTACTGTGAAGTCTTTATACAGTTAAACCCCTTCATAAGAGACATTGATATAAGAGACAAATGGGTATAAGGGATACCAGTGTGCCAACAGTAATATATGGGGGATAGGGAAATGAATACGAGGTACCCTGCTTATGAGAGACATCTTGTATAAAAGACAAAAATTGCTGCCCGGAGCATGCCGCTTATAAAGGGGTTTAACTGTGCATTTCAGAAAACATTACACTGAAACCTCGATAAAATGAAACTGGATATAACGAAATATCAGTAGTAACAAAATAAATGAAGAGTAGCCTTGCAATAGATATAGTGTAAAGAATAAACCGTTATACCAAGTTTTTGGATATAACAACTTATTTTTGTGTAAGATGCAACTTTGTTATAATGAGGTTTGAGTTTGCACTAGCAAAAACACAACTGTGCGTTAGAAGGTATTTTATTAACAGCGGCTACTTTCCCCGACTGTGCCTCCCACGAAGCCAGCGCTCCTGGTGTGGTAACAACTGGCACGCAGTCACTTTGGTGGAGGCTACGAACGAGTCAATTCAGACGAATCGCGAGCAGAGGGCCAGAATCTTGGAATAACGCGGCTTGTCTCCGCGTAGCATGGACGGCAGAGGCACCAGTATGCGTGTGCCCAGAGGATTGCCGTTGTCGTCGAGCAGCACCATGTTGTTCGTGTCATATCGGGGCACCAGCGGCCTCTGTTTCATGTGCTTGCAGCCCACAACAAAGCCCTTCTTCTTTTGGCCCAGGATTGCCACCAACACCTGCAATAACAAAGAAGTCGCAGTCCTCTTAGGCAATGCGAAAGCCTTGGCTCACGAAGCATTTATTAAAGGGCCCCAAACCACCCAGAGGTCAAAACGCTGTTATAGTGGGAAAGTTGTGCAAGAGTCTACAAGACATTGCGTTCAGTTCTTACAGGTGAAGCTTAGGTGTCCCCCAAATTTTTTTGAAACGGTGCCATGATAGCGGAGTTAGATGCGGTTGGTGATCAAAATACGCCAATCGCTACCTTCGCTATCCTTTGCTGGTCTCCTCTCCCAAAACCGCTTTGTCCTCGCTGACTGCCCCTCCCAATCTCGCGTGGCATACGTCGTTGCTGACCTGCAGTTCGAAATTCTGCCTACTTCTTGTTGCCACGACTCCATCAACTCTGTGCTTGTTGCCATTTTTGCCTGTGCTTTTATAAATTGTGCCAGTGTGACCCCGTGTTGTGCACATACCTTGAAAGAATCGCCAACACGGTAACATGCCGTGCCAGAGCACCTGCATGTGAGATTAGTTGCAACAACAGCCATAGGCGTGCCCCTCCTCTCCCAGGTCACCAAGGAGGGGGGCACAATGTCAGCCCTATACATTGCTTGGGATTTGTGGGTGCATCAGTGGCTCGTTTACTGCCACGTATGGCATCGCTTACCGTGAGGCCTTTTAAGAGGACACTAAAGAGGAACAATGACTTTGTTTAGATGGACAAACTGCACTCTGAAAACTGTAATGCCATATGTTTCACTGTCATGAGTTTATTATTAGTAGAGAAAATCAAAGTCGAAGTTTAATTTTTAAAATTTCTAGCTAAAATCACGCACGACGTAAGAAATTTCAAAATGTATTTTTGGTAGTTTCTTGACATTGCCTGAATGAAACATTCGGAAACTTTGTATGCTATGTTTATGGCACCCACAGATTACAATGTACTTCATTTTTGTCCATTGGAAGCTAGGTTGAACCCAGTAGGTGTCTTCAAAATTTCTTGTGTCACGGTATTTGGTGCGGGAATCTCAAGGTGGCGTTCGAACCCACATTTTCTTTTCACATGTTTTATCTTTTACCAAGTGTCGAGTCGTGGTAAGAGTGGTGTTTTCGGGATTATGAAATTGTAATTTACTAATATGTGAAAAATCCTTTTGCTCTTTAGTGTCCTTTTAAAAGGATGCTTTCAGTCAGCTGCACTGTTTCTACAACCCTTGACTCCCTCACGGCTTTGTGGACCGTACAGATTCGGTCCACCTTGACGCATCACATCACGTGATGGATGGATGGCTGAAAGAACTTTGTTAAGGTCCAATAGGTCGTGCTAGTGTCCTAGCTTGAAAGACCTAGCCTTTGAACTGCTTCGCGGGCCTGTTGGACTGCCCATAATTGTCCCTCTAATGTAGGACTGCGCAAAGCTGCGTCCCATCGTTCTTCAGTCTTTTCTTTGTCGCTGCATAACGTGGAAATGGCACAGCATATGAGCACGTGATGTCACAAATATCATGTCACACCTGTATTATCAGGTAAACAAATTTAGCACCATTCATGTTAACAATGCCCAAATTTTTTCACTCATATGGAAGAGAAAGGAAGCAAAAAATTCTGAGTGTTGCAGGTTAGATATCTGCCAATTGCAATTAGCCCACAATTACTGCATTTCAATTAAAAAATGGCAAATTGTGACTCTTATGCTTTCCTAAGCATCATAATGTTACACCCATTGGGCTTGGGCCAGTAGCATGAAACTATTAAAGAAACACTCACGCTCGTTGGGGCTTTAAACTCTGGACCAACCCTTTTCAGCACTATGACAGTGCCATCTACAACGACTCTTGAAACACATTGTTGCAGTGCTTGAATCCCGGACTACAAAGTGGCTGACTGGGCTAGTTGGTAGTGCATACTTATGGATAACAGCAGGAAAAATAACATAATCGGACTACAAGGATTTTTTTTTAATACTAAGCTTTCTTTATCAGTGCCTTTGCATTGCTTTCCACTGTAGCCTCGTGCAACAAGCGAGTAGATCACAATTTTTCCTCTTTCATAACTCCAGTCCACTCTGACTAAATTTCTAACACATTTAAAAATTCCTTTCCAGCACATCATGGCTATCGCCAAGTAATGGTGACAACAACTCCTCCATTTATTTTTTTTACTTCAGTTAAAAAAAAGGAGGGGGGACGTGAACAATCTGTTATGCATGTGCAAAGTTCAATCTGTCTAAATACTTTTTTTATTACCATAAAATCTTGAGCAAGTGTCTCCCTACAGTGACACATAATCTAAGAAGTGCTCATGAAATGCTTTATTGAATATGCACGCATTTGCTGTTTTTGCTGAACCACAGGGGATCCTCCTGCAAAATTTCGTGTTTTGACAAGGAGAGGTAAAGACGTTTTTCAAATATTCCAGCGATTTGTGATAATTTAGAATGTAACACCGAAGCACCACACCGTAGAAGTACTAAGAAACTGAGCACATATTTAATGACTCTTAGAGCGTAGATTAATAGGAACAGCTGTTTCAGGATTTTGTGGCAGGATGAAAAAAAAAAAAAAATGACAGGTGTGGAGGATGGGTGCCCGCTTAGCCATTGCCACATATTTCAAATTTCTGAAAATGGGTATGGGGTAACAACACATGCCCAGGTAGGGGTGCTGCTCGGGATTTAACGGCAATAATCAGTTGCAAGTGTAAGCACTGTCCTGTCTACTTTCATTGTCTACCTCAAAGTGACATGTTTAAGCCAAACTTGCCACCTTGTTGCCAACAACATGCGTTACTGTGAAGGGGACCAGGGCGCACCTTGTCGCCAATAGAGGCAAAGCCCGTCTTGTTGTAGACCTGGATGATCTTTGGCGGCTTCCCATCCATCATGGCCTGGCGACCCAGTGCGCTGTTGTCCACCACTCGCAGGCGCGATTGTTTCTGCAGGTGGTGCACCACAGCACTTGTGCTGAAATGAAACGTACGAAGGAACACTTGCAATTGAGGGATAAAGGGCGTGCTGCTGGTGTTTACCACTGAGCTTCATATGTGAGGTAGGGACGAGACGAACCCTTTTGGGTGGTTTTTTTTGTCGTACAGTGTCTCTGCCGTATGAGTACGTTTTTAACCTTCCGCTTGAAATTTTGCTCTGTACCATAGATCTAGAAAATGTTTAGCACAGAAAATACAACACAAAAATAGGAACATAGACAAACCTGGGGGGAGTATCTTGTCAACGTTATGTTAGAAAACAGCAGAGGTACGCAATGAAGGAACGATACGGAATAAACAGCCAATAGGTGAGCTGAGGGAATTCAGAAATGGTTTCAATGCATGAAGAAATACGAAATTATTATAGCTGGACATTAAGATTGGCAGGAACTGTTTTTAAATGCTTGAAATCAAAGAATGGGATGACTAACAATTTATTAGAGTCTTCAGTCGATGCTAAGTGATGTCGCAAATTTATGAGTCGTTCACTGGTGATTTTCCCAGACTATCGGCATGAAATTGGGGTAAGCCAGGTGCAAAAAAGCTAATTTGATTTTCAAGCCTCAAGTGCTCACTTTTCGATCTAATACCAATGTATGGAGACTGTTTTGTATTGTCGAAATGATGCCGCCTACACCCGTTCTGTGGCTATTCTCAGGTCTTGACGGTCACAAGTGTTCCTACCAATCATGTGCCTTTTGTTCTTCCAACCTTTTGTTCTTCCATTCCGTCCTTCCTCCATTTGGTGACAGAACATTTACATAACAGTTCTCTAGTTCACGTCCTGTCTTCGAGCACTAAAAAATTAGCTTAATTAGTTTTCTTGCCACCCATTCTGTAGCTATAGCTGGCCACCAGTATGTTTCTCTTCCCTAAATACCTCAATCTATATTGTGGCTAAGATCTACGAAGCTCAATATTGTCGGTATAGAGGAATACAGTTTGTATTGAGCTCATATAGATTGGAACATTTCATGTGGGTTTGAATTGGCTTGCAAAATAGGTCTAAAACTATTGGAATGTGAACTACAGTAATATTTTGCTATAAAACTAACATTATCCCTTTTCTTCCATCGGTACTATGCTTTGTCGCATTGGCATAAAGGTGATTCCTAGACTTGAAGGGCGAGGGGTCCTTTCTGGCAGAATTTGTGCTATTCGGGACTGTCAGCAGGGTTTCCTTGTTCTTGGCAACTATCGAAGGCCTTGAAAAGTTCTCCACTTTGTTTTATGCCATGCCGTTTCAAACCACTTCTTCGTTGGAGATCGTTGCCCCGTATCTTCAGTTCATATGTACTGTATTTCATGTATACTGTGCTGGAGTGAATGGAGGACACGTTACTGCAGCGTTAAATGTGAAAAGAAACAAGTACGAAAGTTGGACTTTTTATATTATAGTTATTTTATGGTATAGTATTATAGCTATATTATAGTTTTATCTTAGAACATCACTTCTTTCAGTAAGTGCCAACTCGCCCAAGTAAAAACTAAGTGTGGAACGTAAACACGATAGCAATGCCTCTACGACATAAATGCAACATTTTGTATAAGACCATGTTGGTTGCTTCGGTTCCCATTGTTGATGCAGTGCTGGTTTATTGAATGTGGCTCAGTTTAATTGAAACGGTTGGAGAATTTGGCTCATTTTTTGATTAGAAACTGCCTTTCTGAGTTCACGTACAATCAGGAATTGCCACATTTTGATTCCATCTGTTTTACAAGTTGTAAATACTTAGGCACGCTTTACGTTCCCATGAAATTTAGTCTAGTTTCGGTTTATGCATCTGGCTGTTTCTGAAGAGAAGCAAAAAAAATGAAAAAAAAAAGCGCCACAACTTACCTGAATGCACGATGCCGCATGCAGTTGCCCGGAAGTAACATGAAGGCGGTAGAGCTCAACATTTTCGACAGTTACCGAGAAATGCCACGGACGATTGGTGCGCAGGTTCCTGGGTCAGCTGGCGCCTCTCATAGCGCGAAGGTCCCTATAACTACAAACGGAGAATCGTTCAGACACTTTATTGCGTTATAACGTCACTAACGCATGTTTTAAGGCTGCCTTTCCTAGGTCAAATCAGTGACTTAGATTAGCGAGCCTTATTATTAGCGTTCATAGCGTTTCCTATAAATAAAAAGCACGTAACCAAATCGTAAAACAAGCAACTTTTTAGGACTCCGTTCGAACTCGCGGCATGACCGCATTCTTTTGGGCCCTGCTGCTGCACATTTTCGTAATCGTTCATCTAGGGCGTCTGCGCTTGATTTGCGACGCAACTAGACTTTAGAGATATTCAAATCGTTTCGAAAAGACCACCCCATCAGAAGAAACTACGGAAAACATGCAGAAGAGAGACGCACCATGTGAGCGAGAACGCTAATTCGCTTGGATTGGCTCGGATTGAAACGTTTGAACACAAATTGTCGCTTGTGATGCCGATGACGACACGGCTGATGCTTATCGAGCTGAAGCGAGACCACTGGCCTAGCCGCCGCCCGCCGCAGCGGTAGCCTCCCAGCAGAAAAGCCCGTTGCCCACGTATCCGGCACCGCACACGCAGTAGCGCGCACGACACGAGGCATGTAGTCCGCATTGCGTGTGCCTGGTGCAAGGCGCGAGTAGTCGACTGTCGGTGGTGTCGGCTAGGAGTACGGCGCGCTTGGCGCGACCGCCAGTCGGCTGCTGCAGCAGGAACGGGCTCTGCAGTTCGGGGAGGGGCTCTTCGATGGGTTCTCGAAGCCTGAAGCGGCGACGTGCCACCAGCAGTCCCGTCGACGAGTACACGGAGCAGGCGAGCAAACCTCCCTGGCTGCGCCGCAGGCCCGTGATGCGCAGGGAGCGACCCGACCGGCTCACCTGCGAAATTTAGTTCCGCTCAGGCAAACAATGCGCAAATTACGTACGGTAGTGCATGATGACCTTCGGTCAAAGGTACTCTATGTGGTTAAAATAAAAAAAGCAAAAAAGAAAATACTGCTGTTGCAGGCACAAACTTGTTCGGTCGTAGTTAATAAAGGGGCTAAACAAGAAAACTAACTGATCACCCGTTATCAGTGGTTGTACTGCATGGTCATCTTATCTCTAAAAGAAACATTTACTGTTATCGTCTCGAACGTTCTAGCCGGGAGATATCCAGCAGGAATAGCTAAAGCGGCAGCCGTACGCATGTGCAGGGGTAGGGGGGATGGGAGGCAACCTGGTGACTGCAGCATTCCAAGCGTCAGCCGTCAGGGCACAATGCAGATTTCACATTTCTAATTCACCTGTTCCAGCCGAGTTTTCTATTGTTCCACTTCCTTTTTTCCTGACTGAAGCACCGATCTACACGCACGCAATCTATCCTTCGGCGCACCGCGTACCCTCATGTTGGTGGCCAGTGGCTGGTAGTCCCAGTCCCATCGAAAGTAGAGAGATTCGAGCGGCAGCGTGAGGAAGTGCTCGAGGTTGACGGTGAGCTGGTCTCCTCGGAACACGGGCCCCAGGTCGACGGGCAGCAGCTCCAGTCGGAAGCTGAGGTTGCCCAGAGGTCCCGCTAGGGCCTCCCAGCTGTTGGGCTCCAGGTCCGAGTCGGTGATTGGCGAGATGCGCAGCTCGCCGGCTCCAATGGCCACGTTCCATGGCGCTGTGTCGGGTCGCAACTCGACCACGGCGTCGCGGGACGTCGATCCGTCGAGCGAACGGTAGCGCCTTCGCCACGTAACGCGACCGACTCCCGTTCCGGCACTGCGCAGCCACAGTGTCACCGTGTCGCCCACCTGCGGCGGCCATGCAAGGACGGTACGGTACACCCTGTTGCACAGTCCCGCCAAGAACATGCCTCGCCCTTTACAAAAATAGTCCTTGTGAATCTTTAAGCATTGCTTAATTCTGGTAGTTGACAGGGCCCTATCTAGGGGGAGTTGAGGGTATTCTGACATCCCCCAAAATTTTTTCATCCTTTACCATTTCGTGTGATACTAAGGCATCTACATGCCTTCACAACGACCACGTTACCAAAGTTAGCTGTTCTACAAGGGGCATAGGCAGAATGTTTTTTTCGATGGTAAGGTGGGGGGGTGGGGGTTGAGTGGCGGGCATCTTTTTTGTCTGAAGGGGTTTTCGGACAGGCAGACCTGGTCGAGTGACATTTTGTGCTCTGCATGTCATGGCAAAGAAAAAAATTACCGAGGGGCGGGGGGGGCATGGTGTGCCAATCCCTGCCTACGCCACAATAATACACCCCGAGAAAAGTTCATGAGTAGGTGTCACAGAACGAGCGCTGAAAAAGGGCGCGCCGTCAAATTCCCGCGACGAAACGCCGGAGTGACGCCGCGAGGTCAAAAGAAAAAGAGAAAAAAAGAAAACAAGCTCCCCGGGCACGCTCCCTCTCCTCTCGGAAGCGTGGCTTCGCCGACGAACCTCCTCACCCCACATCGGTGGCCGAGCAAGCACTCGAAATTTCTAGAAGGAAAGGGGCGTGTTATGCCGGGTTGGGTTGAGTCATCTGTCGGGGACGGCCCTCGTACAGTAAAGTGTGGGATTGGGCTAGTTGGTGATCCATATAAAACTTCTAGGCGCGTAAAACTTCAGACAACTAACATAAGAGACAAGGACGAGCGCAGACTTTCAACTGATTTTATTACTACTACGACACACATATATATATTAGAAAGAAGATAAGCAACACACAAAATCAAAAGGCGAAAAGAGAGATTGCAAAAACATCACGTGCTCACCCTGGGCCCTCACGTGCCGAATTTAAAAACGCCAATTCTTTCCCAGATAATGCGCTCGTCCTTGTCTCTTATGTTAGTTGTCTGAAGTTTTACGCGCCTAGAAGTTTTATACCTCGTACAGTCTCGCGCCTTCCCCCAGCCTTCGCTGCGTATCGCGCCGACGAAATGACGAGAACCTTCTGGAATGTCGCGCGGAAGGTATTTAACCGAGCAGCGGAGATGAGAGATCAGGAGAAGACGGAAGTTAGCGCCAGAGCGCGTAGGGATTCCGCCGTGTAGTCGGCGAAGGTTTTGTCCGTGGAGACAAAGCAGGGGAAGATGATTTCCACCTGAGGGGTGACGACTCGAGCTACAGGCAAGAGTGTGTGGTTACCGCTATCGAGCGAAGACGCGTGGCAACAGCTACGTGTGTGAAGCCGACGTGTTTCCGGCAAAGAAGTTTGAAGCTTGGAGAGTGGCCAATTGAAGACGCGAGGTTTCCTGGAAGAGAAACTTCGGCGAGGTTTCCTGGAAGAGAAACTTCGGGGGCTGCGGAACGACAACAATGCTGGACTTTGAGTGAGTTATTCTCGGAAGAGTTTCATCTAGACTTGTGTTCCAAGAACTTCGGACTGAATAGGTTTCCTATCTCTTTAGTCTTCAAGTGTCTTGGTTGTTCAATGCATGCGACTGCATTGTAGTGCGTATTGTTGTCTGAGTCCGTTGTTTCGAGTGTGGCTGATTGTACTGTGTAGTACGTTGTTTGTTTGGTGACATATTGTACTCAACTATTGTGGAGTGTGCATACTTGTGTATTGTTTTTGATCTGCCATTATTGAGAATATAATTTTGTGTGTTTATCAACTCTCGGCTCTGACTTGTTCTTTGGGCCACAGCCGGCGTCCGCTGGCGCGCCAAAAAGGACCACTTCTAAATTGTCCACGCTTTCGTGGTGCGGTTCGGGGGGCCGATACTTCGGCCCTTGGAATTAGCCCGGCGATCGCCTCCCTAATTAACGGGACCTGTGTGACAATTAATCTGGCGTCCGCGACAGGACCCTTTTGGTGCACAGTGTGTCCAAAGTAGTGAGAAAGAGCCTCGAGTGTTGATAGTGCTATCGGAACGATTTTGTGTGTTGCTCAGTGTTCTCGTTAACGAGTGCAGGAGAGTGTTCCGATAGACTGATTTAGGCAGATACTTTTTGCACGCGGCAAGACTTCATTTGCGAGACACGATGGATCTCGAAAAGTTAGTAGCTCTTGGTGAGAAGATGGGTCTTTCTGGCGTCGAACTACGGAAGTGGGTCACCCAGAAGGAGAAAGAAGAAAAGAGAGGGCAAAAGAAGAAAAGGCAGCTGAGCTGGAAAAAGAAAGGTTGGCGGTCGAAAGAGCCAAAGCGGAAAAAGAAGCTGAGTTGGAGAGAGAGAGGTTGGCAGCTGAGAGAGCCAAGGAAGAAAAAGCAGCTGAGTTGGAACGAGAGAGGTTGGCAGCTGAAAGGGCGAGAGAAGAAAGAGAAGCAAAGGAGTGACAGCTGAAGGAAGAAAGAGAGGCAAAGGAGCGACAGCTGAAAGAAGAAAGAGAGGAAAGGGAACGGCAGCGGCAGCACGAGATGGAACTCGAGCGGCTCCGTTTGCAACAGCGAAGTGAAACTACCGTCCAAGCTAGAGTTGAAAGCAGCGAACGGGAAGATCATGGCTTCCGCTTGAACCCAAGCAAGCTGCTCGTAGCGTTTGATGAAAGGAAGGACGACCTTGACGCGTACCTTCACAGATTTGAGACGATTGCAAGGAGCCAGAATTGGCCGGAACATCAATGGGCAACTGTGTTGAGTACTTGCTTGAGTGGTGAAGCGCTCAGTGTGTACGGTAGGCTGACGCCGACTGATGCAGCCAACTATGCAAAGGTGAAAGCTGCTTTGCTGAAGCGATTTAGATTTACTGTGGAAGGATTCCGGGACAGATTTCGGACAGGAAAGCCAGCTGATGGTGAGACGGCTACGCAGTATGCCGCCCGACTTTGCCATTATTTCGACAGATGGATTGAACTTTCAGGGACAGCGCAGGAGTACGATGAGCTTAGAGAGCTCCTAATTAGAGAACAATTTCTTACTAGTTGCCACCCAAGCCTGTCGCTGTACTTGAAAGAGAGGAAGGCTGAGTCACTTGAAGGCATGCTCGAATTGGCTGATCAATTCTTGGAAGCGCAAGGTGGCACTAATTTGGCCAAGGTCAAGAAGGATTGTCCCGAAGATTCGAAGAAATTGGCTCCCGAAGAAAAGAAGCGTGCACCAGAGAGCATTCCGCGATGTTTTCTGTGTAACCGAGTGGGTCATCGCGCGAAAAACTGTCGAACGATCTTTACGAGCCCTACGGTAGTAAAATGTTTTAAGTGTGGCCAGACTGGGCACAAAGCAGAAGCATGTCGAAACGGAGCGAGTCAAACTCACCAGGTGTCCTGTGTGCTAGCAGCACCGAAATCCGATGATAATGCCGTCACCGACGGATTTGTAGAGTTGAAAAATGGGGAGAAAATCCCTATTGTGGGTGCTGTAAGGACAAAACAGCCAACCGGTGTTTCGAAGGGAATGCCAACGCTGCCTGGAAAAGTTGCGGACAAAAAGATTACGGTGTTAAGAGATACCGGCAGCTCCACTGTTATCGTGCGGAAAAATCTGGTACGGGAAATTGAGTTAACAGGCAAAACGAAACCGGTTTGCCTAATTGACCGCACGGTTCGGATGCTTCCCGAAGCAGAAATTGAGGTTGAAACCCCGTACTTCAGCGGGAAGGTTACTGCTTTATGCATGATAACCCCCCTGTACGACCTTGTCATCGGAAACATCGACGGGGCGCGAGGACCGAATGATCCGGAATGCTTGGGAGAAGACCCTAAGATAGAGCCCTCGCCAACCCAGCGACCGCGAGATACAGTGGAGGAGCAGCCCGTGACGGATCTCACTAGAGCCCAAGGTGACGCCGCGGCGCAAGAGACAGTGAATGAGAAGATGATCGTGTTGAATGAGTTCACGGGCCGAGCAACTGGACTTACGTCGGCACGACCTCAACCGACCGACAGTGTAAAGGAGACGGAGTTGGCCAGCCGGGCAAAATGTAGAGACATGATCAAGCTGGTAAATAAACAGACAGGACCCGTCGAATGTTATGACCCGTTAACGGTGTCGGAAGTGACAACGATGGCTGAGACGCCGCCTCAGATACCGTCGTTGGAAGGGGCTCGCCGGAACGAAACGAGCAAAGACAATAAGAAGAGATCGAGCGAGCACCGCAAGAAAGGGCGCAAGCGCCGTTCGAAATGCACAGGATAGGTGTCGAAGTCGATTCGGAATGTGTTTGACAGTGCTATATGTTAAGTTAATGTGATTGTTTTCCTGTGCCACAACTGTATGTCGAGTGAGTCAAAATGTTTGTTACGGTGATGTGATGTATAGTAATGATGTGAGTATAGTAATTGTTGTAATGAGAGAACTTTGTACATTTGTATTGTTTGGAATGTGTGATGAAGTGTTGTAGTCATGTACCTGTCGCTATATTTTATGTGTTGTGGAATTGAATGTACAGTTGTATTGAGTGATCTATTGTGAATGTGAAGTGTCATGAGCGACGGATTGTGTTACAGTCTTTAAGTGTGTGGTGACTGTTCGCGCTCGTTTGTGTGGTTTTGAATATTATGAGATAATATTCTTAAAGTGGGGGGCAGTGTCACAGAACGAGCGCTGAAAAAGGGCGCGCCGTCAAATTCCCGCGACGAAACGCCGGAGTGACGCCGCGAGGTCAAAAGAAAAAGAGAAAAAAAGAAAACAAGCTCCCCGGGCACGCTCCCTCTCCTCTCGGAAGCGTGGCTTCGCCGACGAACCTCCTCACCCCACATCGGCGGCCGAGCAAGCACTCGAAATTTCTAGAAGGAAAGGGGCGTGTTATGCCGGGTTGAGTCATCTGTCGGGGACGGCCCTCGTACAGTCTCGCGCCTTCCCCCAGCCTTCGCTGCGTATCGCGCCGACGAAATGACGAGAACCTTCTGGAATGTCGCGCGGAAGGTATTTAACCGAGCAGCGGAGATGAGAGATCAGGAGAAGACGGAAGTTAGCGCCAGAGCGCGTAGGGATTCCGCCGTGTAGTCGGCGAAGGTTTTGTCCGTGGAGACAAAGCAGGGGAAGATGATTTCCACCTGAGGGGTGACGACTAGAGCTACAGGCAAGAGTGTGTGTTTACCGCTATCGAGCGAAGACGCGTGGCAACAGCTGCGTGTGTGAAGCCGACGTGTTTCAGGCGAAGAAGTTTGAAGCTTGGAGAGTGGCCAATTGAAGACGCGAAGTTTCCTGGAAGAGAAACTTCGGGGGCTGCGGAACGACAACAACGCTGGACTTTGAGTGAGTGATTCTCGGAAGAGTTTCATCTAGACTTGTGTTTCAAGAACTTTGGACTGAATATGTTTCCTATCTCTTTAGTCTTCAAGTGTCTTGGTTGTTCAATGCATGCGATTGCATTGTAGTGCGTATTGTTGTCTGAGTCCGTTGTTTCGAGTGTGGCTGATTGTACTGTGTAGTACGTTGTTTGTTTGGTGACATATTGTACTCAACTATTGTGGAGTGTGCATACTTGTGTATTGTTTTTGATCTGCCATTATTGAGAATATAATTTTGTTTGTTTATCAACTCTCGGCTCTGACTTGTTCTTTGGGCCACAGCCGGCGTCCGCTGGCGCGCCAAAAAGGACCACTTCTAAATTGTCCACGCTTTCGTGGTGCGGTTCGGGGGGCCGATACTTCGGCCCTTGGAATTAGCCCGGCGATCGCCTCCCTAATTAACAGGACCTGTGTGACAGTAGGGCCCTGGTGATCGCACTTACATCGCATTCGGACCTTACTGAGTATCTGCTGATGAATATGTTATAGGGGCACTAAAGGGAAACGATAAATTTCTTGAAGCTGGGAAAAATAGACTCTCAGAACTCTAGTATTGTTCATCTACCATATGTGTATTAAAAGACAAAAGAAATGTCAAAAAGAACATTTTTAAATTTCCCACCAAAATTTCCGATGAGACGTCATAATGTCAGTGTTGTTTCGTACTTTGACCACATTAGGTCAACAAAAATTATTAAAACTTGCTGTGTAATGCCTCTGGCTCCCTCAGAAAATAATGAATCCTCCCCTTCCTGATTATCCGCCGCTCTTGGCTTCACTGTAACCGAACCGGGAACTTCAAAAGTGGTGTCAAAACTAGCATTTTCTTTCCGCGCGTTTTGTTGCTTACCAAGCGTCGTCTCACAGCGAGCGTGATGTTATTCGTATTGTGAATGAAAAAGTAATTTACTAATACGAGAAAAATAGCGTTTCTTTTTATTGTAGCTTTAAGAGTTTACACATACCGAGCGCACGCATGTGAGCTGTCTTCTGATCTTAATTGTTCGCACGGTGCAACGATATGCCGCTGAATCTGAGCGGGTGCTTGTCGATCTTGTCTGCACGTCATAACATCAATTTCTATTCAGTTGGCTATAGGTGCCGGAGGGTGATCAGTGGCGGACCACGAGGGTGCCGTTCTCTCTTCTGAATGGCCAACTTGACCATAGTAGTCTTCGCTGCAATGCACGGTGTTTACGCATGTGTTGAGGTGTGATATAAGCGGAGCATGCCATGTGCCTTATACCTGTCTCCGGAAGAAGCACGTGCCCGTGGAGGCGTCCCACTCGTCGCACGGGACGCCCGGCAGAAGCGCCCGGTTTTCCTCCAGCTGGTCGGGCAGCGCAGCGGCAAGCCACACGACGGCGGCCAGCCAGGCATGCCGCATGCCCAACAGCCTTCCTCTTCTTTTCATCCCAACGTCACATGTTGTTGTTGCTGCTGTACGTTGTGCTATCGTCTCATTTTGTAGTGGTGGCGGTGGTAACAACTTTATCAACTCCGGCAAATTCGTGGCCTAAGCCACCCCCGATGAGGATGGCCCACCGTTGATCCTGGAGGTTGGAGCCGTGTAGCGCCGCCCGACACTGCGCCGCTGCTTCATCTAGAAAAACCGATCACCCTCCCACCCTCCCCATATAACCAGCAGATTTCCCGAGAATGTGCCAATAAGAGATAATCAGTCTATGATTTCAATAGTATCGGAAGTTGTACGGCAGCACGTTTGGGGTCGCCCTTCTCGCGCGCTGTATACCCAAAGAGACTATGATTTCGCTACATGGGCGTCAGCAGGGGGTGCAAAAAAGGCACTTTTCGCGCTCAAGCCACACCTGCATTTACCCCACCAGCGCTCTTCGCCTCCCGCAGACGCAATGCAAGACTGGTTTGTACCCTCCAGGACAGCAAACTCCCGACACTCATGATGGCAAACAATGCGGCACATACCTGCTGCGAGATGGGCGAAAACTCGAATTGGCGTCCCTTCGTCTTGTCGTCTCATTTTGAAAAAAAACGAAAAAAAAACCTGCCCTAAATCACATCAGACGGCTGTTATGTTCGATTAAAGTACCAGATTGAAGGTACAATTCTCATTAAAAAATGTACATCGTGAAATTCAGACGGGTAACCAAATGTATACCATCAATACTGCTACCTGGCAGCTATAACAAGCTTTAGTGAGATGTTTGCAATAGTCAATGCCTTTTCGTTTCAACAGTAGCGTTGTCGCAAGCGCGACTCGATGTTAAGTTTTCCCGGATAATACGTTCAATAAATTCCGCAAGTGAAAAGCGCATATCTAGGAAGGTTTCGCGATTACAAACAATCGGATACGCGATCAGGCGCATGTCATCCATGGGTTCGTTTATATAAACATACACAAAACGATGTATTAGTAAGCCAAAGGAACAATCAATACAAGCGCTGCCAAAGTTGGAACAGATTTTTGTTGTTGCTTGTTTTCATTGGACGCCTACTGCTTCAGCAGAAGTGAACTCCCGGTGCCCGACCATTGGCGGCCTCTGAAATAAAGAAAGGAATTCGTTACGTCGAGTTGTTCTTTTTACTTCCGTTTTTATAATGACACTCAGTGAGCCGATGCGATCCTCACTGTGTCTCTTCATAAAATCGATTTTTATTTTTTGTTCGAAAAACGACCACTTTATAGTGGCCGCAGAACTATATATATATATATATATATATATATATATATATATATATATATATATATATATATATATATATATATATATATATATATATATATATATATATATATATATATATATATATATATATATATATATATATATATATATATAAGGTTGTTGAAGACCTTGAGGAACACCTATTTTTACCACTTTTCATCAATAAAACTTCCCCCACCCCTGCTAATTTTCTTTCAGCGCGAGGGACCTATACCCCCCCCCCCCCCCTCCTCCATGGCTAAGAGCTTGGTATACGGGCTTCTACCATTTCGCACCGCCAAAAATGCGACCGTCGCTGTCGGGATCGAACCCGCGACCGATCGTGTCAGAAGTACCGCGGCGGTTGATGTGGCGTCCAATTGTCGTGAGACATGACGTACCTAGCATGCTTCCGAGGAATGCCCCGTAGGTGGCGCTCGCGGTGACGGCGCCCCGATCGGAGGGGTTCATGCGCAGCGTGCGGACCCGGAAGGCCCTGCCGTCGGTTTCGCTGGGCCCCACCACGTCCAGCTCGAGGCTGTGGAAGTCGGCCAGGCCCGGGTCGGCCACCAGCCGACCACGGACGCCGTCGAAGCCCAGCGTGTGCGCCGCCATCGCAGCGGCCGCCATGCTGTTCACGTTGTTGGGCGCCATCGGACACAGGCCTCGCACGGGTCCTGCAATGACGGCCAAAAAGAATACACCTGAAATGGGACCACTTACTAGAGGAACCGTAATCTGCACATACAATCATACCATCATAATCACTTTGTCAGGTGAGATGAAAGCTGTTTATCAGGGGTGATATTGTGGATATTGTAAAACTCCGCCATATTACGTCAAATGAACTGATGGCGACGTTTTCGGCCAATCAGAGTGAGAACGTTGCAGACTTAAGCAATCCGATTGATAATGAAGAAACTCGTCAAAGGAGAGCCTCATAACTATTGGTCTGTCAGCGATCCGAACAGATGTCAAAGGAAGCGATACCAAGATGGGCTGAGTATTGCGTTGTGACGTCAGACAAAGGAAAGCAAATAGTGGGGTACAAACTTCTTCACAGACGGTTCCCTGGGCGCCACCGTAATCTTCTCGGGACTGCGGAAAGTATAGGCGTTAAAGAGCCCAACGTAGCACCGTATTTTCCCCCTCTCCTGTGAAATGCTCTATACAAGAATATGTATTGGTTTGTTTTCCTTGTCAGCTACGCTTACCAGAGGAGATCTGGCGTAGAAGGCGTAGAGGAGATCCGGTGAAAGCAGGATAGAAAAACTAGAGATAAACGGAGTGTGGAAACAAAGACTATACGGTCCTCATTTGTTTTTGTTTTTAGTAACGAACAAGAAAAATGAAACTATGGAGCTGCTCTCAGGTATCCGCAATGGAGTTCGCCGTGAAATCATCTGGTGGGATATATACACATAGCGAGCATCGCGAACTCACCGTCATACAGAGTGACAGCCTGAGTTCCCAGCGCCGCTCGGTCGCAGCGGACGCGCATCTCGGCGTCGGCCAGCCTCAGCGCCGACGGGTGCTTGGTCATGGTGACCGTCAGCTCGGCCAGCTGCCCGCGGTCCGCCAGCGCCCGGATGTCGTGCAGACCCCAGAGCGCGCCGCACGGCACGAACAGCGCGTGGCGACTGGCCGCGGCGCGCAGCCGGGCCTCGACGTCGGGCTCGGCGAACGCCGTGGGCGAACCCACCAGGAGGTCGCAGTGGCGCAGCAGCTGCTCGCCATGAGTGCGGACCAGCGACGGGTGAGCCACCTGCAGCCAAGGGTTTTCACTTCAAGGGACACTAAAGAGATATAATCAGTTGTCTTAGATTGATAATCAGCACAGAAAATCAAGTTTCATTTTTTTGAATTTCTCGCCGTAATCTCCGCGCGTGACGTCAGAAATTCCGCAATGTGTTTTTCGAATTTTCGCGCCATTGGCTCGATGAAATTTTCGGAAACTTCGCATGCCAAGTCTATGCCACCCGACATGATTACAATGTACTTCAGTTTTATTGATTAGAAGCTACGTAGGACCCAGTAGACGCCTTCAAAAATTGATGACGTCACAGTTTAATGCGGGAATATCGAGGTGGCGTCTTCACCCGCAGTTTTTTTTTCTTCACACATCTTCTCGCTCACGAAGTGTCATGTCGAGGTAAGAGCGGTGTTTTCGGGATTATAAAATAGTACTTTACTAATACGCGAAAAAGCGTTTTGCTCGTGTACATTTAACGGGAGTCACAATCATGCTATCTTCTATCACATATCTCCTATGATATTTCAGATACTTACTGTACACCAACTATACAATTTTAAACTCGCCATATATATCGGTTAAGAAATCGCAAATAACGTGGTCGGTAGATGCTCCATGTGATCTGCGTTTTGACAGATATCGACTGCCATGATTCAGAACAACCTATGGAAAACAAATCTTGTCGTATCAATTATCTAATCCACTTCACCACTGAAGCTATGTCCGTGAACTTTTAAAACAAAGCAGTAGAAAAACTTTAAGAAAAATGCTGAAATGAACCTACTCTCTTGTTGTGCGCCTCAATTAAATATATTATCAATTACAAACATTTTTAATGTTTGTGTACTACTGTATAATCTTGTAAATTTACCTCATCTCTTTTGATTTGTATTTCGCATTCAGCATTGTACTTAGTCTTCTAGAATATTTTTTTGGGATTCAGTTTTTCACGCATTTTTTTCTTTTTTTTATAGTGCTATGGACAAACTGGTGTTCATTGTAGTGCGATATTTTAAAGTGTATGTTTCAAATATTTTCTTTCTACTCTCTGAATTTGGCTTTTGTGTTCCTAAAAAAATATCTGTATTTTTATGTTGCTCTACATTTGTGCAAATCAATGGGTGGAGTGGAAGGACACTAGTCAGGGAGAGATAGTTGCTCTCTAGTCCCTTCAACCTAGGCAATATGTTTTATCCAAATGGGTTTAATTGAATGAACATTAGCGACGGTCGCACCTCAAATCCTACGACAGCCTCCCCGGAGTAAAAAAAGAACAGCGCACATATCTGGTGGCCCACGCACCTCTACCACGAGGTCCGGATGCCGGGTGGCGGCCAACGCCAGGTCCTCGAGCACCAGGTGCGGGGGCAGCCCCTGCACCACTCGGCCCCGGCTCCAGACGAAGGCGAGCTCGAGGGACTCCGGTCGCCGCTGCACTTCGGCCGCCAGGAACTGGCCCAGCTGGCCGAAGCCCACGATGCCCACGCGCCGACGCATGGTATCGCCGCCAACGGTCGACTGCGACGGCGGCGCCTCGTCGTCGTGACCCGCTCTAATCACGCGTGCATGTCCCGCCGTTTTCTCGGCGTGGGCTGAAAGGGAAACGCGCGTCCGATACACGCCCACCGCAAGGACAACGTCTAGGTCGAAAAGAGGCGCCTTTCGTGATGAGCTTCTTCCCGTGTGTGTAGATACGTGCATGTGTAGCACATCCGTGTATGTATAAGTACGCATGTACGTTCACACGGCAGTGTACACCTTCAAAATATAAAGGAAAACCCAGTTTTGTATTCCGCTATCGACGAGGGATGAAAATTGGCGTGAAGGCCTCCTCATAAAAGCACGTTCGTATGAAGAGGCCTTCGGGATTTTTATGTTCTTCTGATAAACAGTTTCCAACGCATAACCTTTACTTTTTTATTAATCACGTTTACGGCATGCGTACGTAATTGATAATTATAAGTACAGGGTCGCGACACCTCACTATAGCACTTAAGATTTCGTAGAAACTCCATTATACTGCCCAATTCGGAAAATCATTGTGCTTATCGACACCATATGATTAGGCGTCATATATAATGAACATCTCCCTCGTGAAGTAGAACAACGTTCTACAGTTTTACCAGGTTGAATACTAAAGAGGCTCTCACATGAAGTGTGTTTGTCTAGCTCTAGGAACGTCGCATTGTGATGAAGCCCCTCCATGACGCCATGTAACAGCGCAGCAATGCTGCCGTATAGACCATAAAGATTTCTCAAAGTATGGGAAACGTCGTGGTATAAACGTGTGCTTCGAGGCTTCAGTTGATTTCTCACAGATCACCAGTGCTGCGCCCCGTAACTTCACGGCATTGCAGGATATCATGGCGCGTGTTTTCTCGCTGCTTTCCTTTCAATAATAATAACGAAAATCCACACCAACGATGCACGTCATGCATATTAGCTTAGCTTCGGAATACACCAAAAATTTACACTTCGATTATAGCAGAGCAACAGGCGAGCAAGCGCGCTGTGTCGTGTGATGGACGCTATACTTCACTGACGTATCACTGTGGGACGTACTGTTTGAAGAATGCGCAAATCAACTCGCTACGAAATTTCACTTGCACCGTGCGCGTGTATTTGCAATGTTAACCTTATCGGTGCACAGAACAAACGACCGGCATGTGCGTGATTACCGGCAGCTGGCGTGAGAGCCGACGACATTAAAGTTGGAAACAATGGCAGACTCTGTCATTGGGCAGTTGTTCAATGACTGGTATGACAACATGTCTGCTGTAGTGACAGCGCTTATCATGCACACACAACGGTTGTTCAGTGGTTATGGTACATGAGCACTGACCGCAAGGTCACGGGATCAAATCCCGGTCGCGGCTGCCGGATTTTGATGAAGATCGGCGTTAAGGAATCTCAGGAGGTCAAGATTTCCGGATCGAGCCCTCCAGTACGGTGTCCCTCATAACAATATTGCGGTTTCGGAGAGTAAAACACCAGAAATTATTATTTTATCACCACGAGAAAAAAGCTGCAGTCGGCATGCCTACGCCACCATGGGTGCATCACTGGCGTAGCCCAGGCATGGAGGTAAACCCCCTTTCTCGAGAGATTATCAATTTTCAATGTGCACATATATGGCACACATGCAAACACCCGCCAACAAACACACAGCATAAAATACGGTTGACCCCACACCTCCGTTAAACCTCATCTGCAACTCCTCCCCATCAACCCACCCCAGAAAATGTCTTCCGGAACGCTACTAGTGTACTTACCTGGTAAAGAATGTATATGCTCCACAGAAATTATTTTTACCGGAGACGAGATGGGTGGCAGTCCAAACACTTCACAAGTATCGCAGTCGGCTCGAGTCAGTTATCCTTGAAGACTATACGCGCCTCCCATCCTCTGCCATCCGGTGCAACTTTTACTGCGCCTGTGTACACATCCCTTAGTATACAGCGCTGCTATCTTGGCCATATCAGATCTCCGCGGAGTGAGCCCGGCAAGAGCCGCCTAAACCCTTCGCACTTTCCCAGTGGTATACATATAGAATCTCGCTCGTTCATCTTGTTCATTCCTATATGACGAAGCTGCAGCCCCCTCTCGTGAAAAAGAAAGGGGAGAGAACATAATATAATTCTTTGGGTTTTACGTCTCAAAGCCTCGATATATTTAGAGGGACACAGCATAATGGAGGGACCTTGAGATTTCGATCACCTTTTGTTCTTAAACGAGCACCTAAATGCGCATACACGGGACGGGCCTCCAGCATATCGCCATCATTGAGATGCGGCCAAGATTCGATCCCTTCGTGTCAGCAGAGAAGCACCATAGCCGTCGCGGGCAGATTGGCGAAGCAAGTGTTAGTTACGTGCTTCTTCTGTGGCCTCCTTCATCTTTTATCACGTTAATTTTGCACTCATTGACTGCTGTGTTAACACTGGGACCACTTACTCTGATCGAGAGTAACTATATATATCCATAGATGGATATTGGTAATTTGATTTATAATAGTGTTTACCAACGCTTCGAGTCCTGACAAAAAAAGATTTTTCCTCTATTTATAAGTCACAATTAAGCAGGACTCTCGTAAAAGCAATATTTAAGACACTAATGTGTGACATCGGAGGGACGCCTAAGTGAAACAATCGGATCCTTTAGGCTCAGAATTTGTACTATGAAAACTGTACTGTAAGTTCACCACCATAGGTCTGATAATAGAAGAGAAAATAAAAATCAGCATCGCTTTCGAATTACACGAAGAAATCTGCGCGCAAGTACGCCATGCAGCGGGACGGCACGGATTTTCAGTTTCTTTGTATTTTGGCCGCGCTGGCTCAAGAACATTTTCTGAAACTTGGTTTCTTAGGCTTCTTTAGCATACACGTACTGTACTTCATATTTGCTGATTAGGAACCGGGTACGCCCTAATAGACGCCGTTAAAATTTATGACGTCATGATTTTGGCGGGAAGTACAAAGTAGCGTCGCCACTGAATTACTTATTGAGTGTCTTCTCAGTGCAAGCGAGGTTATTCTAGTACAGTCAAACCACTCGATTACAAAATCATCACGGAAGAGATTTCGTTCGTTCTAGGGAGAATTCGGTAGTAGGGAAATATGGAAAAATACGAACCAGTGTTCCTTAGAAATTTTGAGTGGTTTGGCGTAGCTTTTTCAGTAATTTGATAGTAGCCGTGTGTCTGATGATGCCGAGATTGATTTGCAAATGAGTAGCCGTGTGTCTGATGATGCCGAGATTGATTCACAAACGCTCTAACCTTTTGAGGCAGAGAGCCACCTTTCGTGAAGCCGAGGGTGGGGTGTGGGGTGCACGGCCTATCAGGGGGAGGGGGCTAGAAAAGCGGGACTATAATTGCCGTCTTTTATTTTTTTTTCTTCATCCCACATATCCCGAGATCACAATCTACAAACATACCCTACAAGAAAAAAAAAAGGCTATTTTCAGGTCAGACTGCCATGTCGGCCTTCATATAGGCAGTGGCAAGGAAGGGAAAAGTCCTGTGACGATGTACCGGGGGGACACATAATACTGTTATGCAGCAGCAGGTTGCTGATGCTTGCTCCAACTTATCGCATAATTAATGCCAGCGTCGTTAATTGTGACCAATTTTAGCGTCACTTCAAAATTCCCGCCTGAATGTGTACGATACTAGCGCCCCCTGACAACACGTGCGATCAATATTCGGAGTTTTTAAATAGCGGGACCTGCCCGTGATGAAGAATGAAACGATGAGGGTGCTCTGAGCATGTCTTCCCCGGTAAAAATAAAAAAACGTTCCTGGCGTAACAGGCTAAAACCCTTCTTGACAGCAGCCTGACAACAAAGCGAGAGGGGCGAGGAACTATATTCCCTGAGAATGCGGAAGGAATCAGAGCCTCAGCTGTATCATCAAGCCCGGGAGATTTGGCCCACGACAAACGCCATCGCCCTCCATCACAGCCTTTTGATAAAATGAAGCTTTGTTTGTGGCCCACTCGTGTTTACTCTTGAGCCAACACACTGACCTATATATCTAAGTGCATTAATCTTTTTTCTTCTCCCGGCTACTAAGTAGACCCTGACAGGTTGCTTCAGCACCAGATGCACACGAAACGAAACGGAATAAACATACATAAAACACACTTTGTCAACCCAGAAATTGTATGGTATGTGAAAACCCCTTACATGCATCGCAAAAATTCTGTTTCAAGCTTCAGCGAACTAGAAGAGGGTCACAGTAGAGTAAAAAGACACGACCTTGACAACTGCAACATATGGCTTTCCGATACCATTACCATACATGCCCTATCTCGTTACTGTACCAGGAGCGTAGCTGGAAACTGCTTTTAAAAGTATATACTTCCAAGCACACCCCCTTTTGCTAGCATTCAATATTCTGAACAAGGCAAGATGCGGTGAAATAGCAGTAGCCGCGCGACTCAAGACCACGAAGTGCTAAGACGACCACTCAGCTTGGAAACATTTCTCCCTTTATTAACAATATGTTCACACGACACACGTCTCGTGATATCGGCACTTTAGATTTATAAAGCAAACACGCCAAACGCACAAGGCGACAGAAAAACAAACACACTCAGAGAAAACAAAACAGCGAGTTAAATTCTGGGTCGCACCGTCCCCAGAGCAGACAGCTGGGTGAGAATGCGATAGCAGCGCCGCGGCTAGACAGAACACTGCCTCTCACACGCACGCGTCCCGAACCGTTCCGTTACTACGCTTTTTTTTTTTTTTTCACGTTAAGTCGACGTCTGCCTTCACACGGGCTATTTGCACGTCTAGAAAACACGAAGCGATCATCTGCAACGGTTCGCCCGAAAGACGAACCATACACAACTGCGTAAGCTGTCGCGGCAGATCGCTCCGCCTTTCCCGTTAACTGCGGCAGTGGCAACAAACGCTCGCCTACTCTAAAAAGCGCACGCGGTAAACTGTACCAACTGTACCGAGCTCAGAGCGAGGGCAACGCAAAGTCACACACGCACTCCCTAAAACAGGCGAGATGCAGCGAGCCAGCCTGTTGGCCGTGCGGGCATCTTCACTTTGGCGACACAGCCCTCGCAACGTATCGGTCTCCTCGGCGCTCCGCAGCGACCAGCTGTTCGTCCACCGCGACGACGAGCGCAACAACGCCAAGGTCAAGTTCGAGTTCACGCCCGAGAACATCAAGCGCGCTGAGGCGATCACCAGCATCTACCCGGAGGGCCACAAGAACGCCGCGGTCATCCCGCTGCTCGACCTCGCTCAGCGACAGCACGGCTGGCTGCCCCTGACGGCCATGCACTACGTCGCCGACTACCTGGGCATGCCTCGCATGCGGGTCTACGAGGTGGCCACCTTCTACACCATGTTCATGCGGCAGCCCGTGGGCCGCTACCACGTCCAGGTGTGCACCACGACTCCGTGCATGCTACGCGGCGCCGAGGACATCCAGGCGTGCGTCGAGCGCAAGCTGGGCATCCGCCCGGGCGAGACGACCTCGGACGGCCTGTTCACGCTGAGCGTGGTCGAGTGCCTGGGCGCCTGCGTCAACGCGCCCATGCTTCAGGTCAACGACGACTACTACGAAGACTTGGAGGCCAAGGACGTCGACGAGCTGCTGGACGCCTTCAAGCGCGGCGAGAGGCCCAAGCCCGGACCACGAAGCGGCCGCTTCTCGTGCGAGCCGGCCAAGGGCCTGACGTCGCTCACCGAGCCGCCGAAAGGGCCCGGCTTTAAGGTGCGAGCCCGACCTGTAGTTGCTGGACCGCGAGTTTGTTTATATTAAAAATCTGTTAAGAAGATGGCGAGCCCCTGCCGTTCCGAAAGAAACTTGACCCCCCCATGGCTTTCGTGTGGTCACTGCTTGTCCGAGCTCCCGCTCCGCCGTCGTTTCCTGTACGAGCGCTGGTTGCGGAAGCCACACCGAGGCCGCTTGAACTCTGGTCTGCCGGCGTGCTCACTGGTTGTGGGACTGCGCATGAAGGATAAAAGAAAAACGTCGCACTCACGTCTCTGTCATTCGGCTTGTTCTCAGTGACACACATTGGGGGAAAACACTCGTTGTGGGACACCTGCCAGTACTTCCTATACATTTGTAGGATTTCCCAAGATGCAAAATAAAGCCGGCAGTGATGTAGGAATGCTTCCTGTTGAGCGAGTTGGAGGTCGTAGTTTTGAAAAGAGTGGGCAATTTAACATCAGCATTTCAATGTGCACTTCTGGTAAGGCCCAGTTGGGATTGAACTTTTTAAGAATGCTTGGCTCCCTTCCAGAGCCCGCCAAAAAAAAAAAAAAAAAAAAGGAGACAGTTATGATTAAAAAGTTTGATCCATGTAAAGCACAATAACAATCAAAATTAACTGTGTGAAGCCGGTACTATAGTGGTGCTACACAGGCACTTTTAATTGCAAATAGGGCTGATCGGACTTCTGTGATTGCAATCAACAAGTTGGTTGCTGCTACACGGTAGTCTATATTCTGATCAATTTTGGTGTAGATTTCAGCCAAATAACAATAGCTGAGCTAGATCGCAACCACAGATTATGATTGTCTTGATCCCGACTGGGCCTGACCGATTAAATGCGACTGTACAGCAGCCCCTTAATTTGGATGATCTCTGAACCAGATCAAAAGTGCCTATGACCAGCGTAACACATACATGGACAAACCTGATAGAATAACTGCAGAAGTTCTTTGTACTGTAAGACATACTACCACAACTCACTTTGACAACCATGGGAAACATGCCCGCCTTTTCTACAACAATGACTAGAAAACACTCGGACAGTTCACCTTTTCTAGGAATGATAAGCATAGTACTTAAGACCTTGCAATTATTTAATAATATAGCACCAGCATTGTTATCCTATTGTGGTAGAGCTTAATGTTGGCAAAAAGTGATGAAATGCTCTTCAGTGCACAAAGCACATTCAAGCGTAAGCTAAAGACACACTAAAGTGAAACAATGAATCGGTTTAGATTAATAAAGCGTAGTCTGAAAATTCTATGTCGTTAATTTTACCATCATAGGTATTACCATCACCATGAAAGAGCAATTCACTAGTACAAAAAAAATTGTTTAGCTCTTTAATGTCACTTAGTGTAAGGATATCAGTGTAAACTGATATCCTTACTGTGAGTGCGATTGCACTCACATTAAGGATGGCACGTAAAAGGTGTGCTTGCACAATGCACAACATACCTTGTCACTAGTCACTGCCATATTAGGCACTGCCATTTGCAGGGGTCAATGCTCATGTGTTATTAGTATTGCATAAATGCAAAGGTCCACGTGGATTTGTCTGGTGGCTTCAGGCTTCCTTGTTGCATTATAACTTATCACACTTTGCTTGTGCACGTGTGCAATCATTGGGCACAGAACGTTACGGTGCTGCAAAGTGGTGCACCTATGCGCAACACCTTCACAGCATAATAGCTGTTTATAGCGAGTGCTTTCCGTTAGATGAACGTGCCATGCTGCTGCCTAACGTGTGTTATAATGCTTTGGCATTAGCTGTTGCATCGGATGCGGACTCGGATCCACTATTGATCCAGACAACCATGAGAACAATTTTGGAAAGGAAATGGCTGCAAATGTCTCCACCATTCCCACCTGCTGGACTCGCCCGCTGGCTGGCTAGACTGTGGCTCCTCTTCTGGTTCTCCAGGAGGCCTGCAGCAGCAAGGATACACGTGTTATATGCTGTTGTAACTGAAGTGTAAACTTTATCAGTTTTTGGCTCAGTTATAGCCAAAGCTTCTATCTCTCGTTTCACTTACCTTGTTTCTCTTCCCCTCTTTACTTTGAGTCTTTATATTGCAGCGTACACTGCAAATAAACGCCCATTCTACCGGCTAATCAGCTTGTGTATACTTCGCTGGCGCCAACGCACAGGGATCGACGAACGACGAAACAGTGGCGACGAGAAACGGAAAAAAAAACCCTGGATTCAAGCAGGACGTCAGCTACGACGATGTCGCACCAGCAATCGCCGGACTTCGACGACGAGAAAGACAACTGGAAGGCGTATGTCGTCAAGGCAGAAGCATACTTTGAGGCAACAGGGGTGATAGAGTCAGCCAAGAAACGGGTGTTGTTGGTGACAGCCTTAAGTACTTGCACTGTCCAGATACTATAAGGACGAATAGCGCCGAAGAAGCCTAATTCTTTGGAGTATGAGGACGTCGTGAAAGCCTTGGACGAGTTCTTTGATCCCAAACGTCATGAGATTGCAGAAAGTTTCCGCTTTTTCAACCGCTGCCAGCTGGATGGTGAGTCTGTTCAAGAATTCATTACTGAGATTCGCCGAATCCCGGACAACTGCAATTTTGATACCATGCTCGACCGAATGCTGCGAGATAGAATAGTTTGCAGCATCAGATCGAGTGCACTGCAGAAGCAGATGCTGACAAAGAAAGATCTGACGTTAGAGGACGCCGAAACAATGGCCCTCGCAGCTGAAGCGGCAGAGAATGATGCCCGTAAAATGGCCGGCGAAGCATCAGCTGTGCTCAGAATCAAGGCGCAGTCCTCCACGAGCAAAGAGGTACTGCCTGAATGCGGGCGTTGTGGCAGTGTCAGACATAACAGTAATGCCTGCCGTTGGAATAACGCGCGTTGTTATCTTTGCGGTGGACGCAACATAACTCACCTGCACGTGGCTGCGTTTCATCCCCAGTCAAATGGCCTTGAAGAGAGAGCTGTTCGAACCGTGAAAGATGGGCTGAAGAAGATTAACCAGGGCCGATTAAAAGATTGCCTTTGCAGACTACTCTTCAATTACCAGAGCTAGCCGGTACTCGGTCTTCCATTGGTGTAGCCGCTTGTTCTTATTGCGAGAGGCACAGCTGTGCTATAGCTCAAAGAGTGCACGCTAAAAGCGGCAGCGTGGCACACACCTGCATTCCCCTTCTCTGCTACACACTTCGTGTGCACACGCTAGCTACTCATCATGAACACCCCAGAGGCAGCAGCAGCGTGGGCTCACCACCAAGACCCTGTGGTGAGAGCCAGGGACGCCGAAGCGAAGAGGGTTCGTCAGCAAGTGGACCCAGTGCTGAGGGCCAGCAAAGTAGAGGCGTCACGTAAACAAAGGCAAGCAGTCGCATATCTTGCAACTTGCAAACGATGGAAAGTTGAAAGGTATGCGACCGCTTGTGGTTCGACAATAACTTCATCACCCATCTCCTCTTACAACCACCTCTTGTGTATACAATTGCATCAATATGTAAATGAATAAACATTTTGTATATAGGTGTACATACAATCACCCTATAACAACGTGTCACATTTTTATATGATGTGTGAGGCGAACGTTTTACGGTTTCATGGATAAGCGTTAAAGCTTTGCCCCACCTATCAGCATTCACTCCGTGGAGATGGCATGAATTTTTTTCTTCCAATTTATGTTCATGTGGCTCTTTTTGTACATATATATACTATATACATACACATACATATTTGTGACATGACAATTGCTAAAACCAACCGGGAGGCCTATATAATTGCTATCGCAATGAAACAGTCGCGCCTTACGGTAGAGTGGGGCTGGATTGCACCCAGCCGTCTTCACTGTCTGACGTGTTGACTCGTTGCCTCAACTGATGAAGGCGTAGCAGCTGCAAATTGGTCTTTTCATCTTCGCTAGATGAGTCGCATGATGATGACGATGAAGAAGAGGATGATGACGACGACGATGATGACGATAAAGTCCTCACTCTATTGCACTGGCTTGAATCGGAGGACGACCAACCCTCAGCATCTCGTTGAACCTGCAAACATTATTCACTTTATGAATGAGCATGTTCTACTTCAAGGGTTCCAAAACTTGCTGGCCTTCGCACTGCCACACGTGTGGATGCAGGCCCTTGTTCAATGTAACCACAGTGCTTTTCAAACATAGCGATCAGACCACAAGAGAACTAGTGCAAGCATTCTATATCAAAAAAGAAGGGGAGTCCTGCGTTAGTCAGACATCAATATCTTTACATGAAAAAAAAAAAAGAAATCCTAATCAGTAGTATGTTTGTTTGAATGGAATATGTTGCGCCTGCGCAGTTACCCATAGCGCAAAATTATTAATGACGTCGACACGATCCTTCGCTGGCACCTCTGCGTATGTTCTGTGTGTTTTTATCTTATGTGTTCAGATAATTTGTATATTTCAATAAATTCTTCAGTTGAGAGTCAGCGCTTGCTTGTGTCTCTTCTCTTCGTCCCGTGAGTTTGTGCGCTGTTACTGCCCATAATGGCCTCAGGAAACTAGTGCTAGCTTTAAAAAGTGAGGAACACCTTCCAGCCTTGGTTCCTATGTACACATGCTAGGAGAAAAGCCTTGACTATTTTAATTGAAGGGACACTAAAGCGAAACAATGACTTGGTTTAGATATGTAAACTGCATTCTGAGAACTACAATATCGCAAGTTTCACCATCATAAGTTCATAATTATAGGAGAAAATCAAGGCTTAAGTTTCATTTTTAAACTTTGCACTGTAACCTTTGCACGTGACGTCACTGATGTCAATATGTATTTTTCGCATTTTCGCGACATTCGCTTAATGAAATTTTCTGAAAATTCGTATTTTTTTAGGTATACGGCTTCCACAGATGACAATGTACTTCATTTTAACCGATTAGGAGCTATGTAGGACCTAGCAGATGCCATCAAAATCTACAACTTGCAGTGTTTGGTGCGTGAATCTTGAGGTGGTGCCTCCATCCGTGTCTTCTTTTCGTGCGTTTGCTCGCTTACCAAGCGTCATCTTGCAGTACGAGTGGCGTGCTTGGGATTGTGAAATTATACCTTATTATAATATCAGAAGGTGGAACATTGGGTAAATATGGGTCTGGGAGCAGGCAAAAGTGCCTTTTGTAGCAGGCTTGGAGGATCGGGAACGATATATTGATGATGTTTGATGTTTTATGGCGCAAGGGCCATTTCACGGCCAAAGAGCGCCAGTTCATCTTACTAAAAAAAAAAAGGACAATGATTGTGATAAGCGGCTGTATAAGGGCCATAAAATTCCTCGCGGTAAGGCGGGTAAAAACATACAAGTAATAAAATCATGACCATGCCGTGAAAGGTGTGTGTGGTGTGAATAGATGACAAAAGTTGGTGATAATAAAAGACGATGGTGGATATGTATGGCATTAGCACAAGTGCCTCACTCGTTCATACCCTTGCGTCCAAGGGCCGTGAGGCAAGTGCTTTCTTGTGTAACCACCGCAGCAAAAACCTCCCTGGAGAGGTCATGCTACGGGATGCCCGGGTATATGATATGAAAACTATGAATTTCATTAAAAAACGCTAACAATGATTTGTGGCTAAAAAGCGGTTCCCTACCGACGAACATTGCAGGGTGTAAAGGTATATGTTGTCGGTAGGGTAATGGAAAGTGTTGTTTTCTTACAGTGTCCAATTGTTTGCACTCAATTAAAATGTGAAGGACTGTCAATGCTTCACCACATCTGTCACACAATGGTGGATCGCCACCGGACAAAAGGTGTGTGTGTGTCGTGTATGTGTGTCCTATCCTGAGTCTCGTTAGTATTACCTCTGTATGACGCGATTTCGATACAGGTAGCCAATGACCAAGGTGTGGCTTAATAACGTGTAGTTTGTTTTGTGTGTGTGTATCCCACTTGCTCTGCCAGTATACTCTGAGGTTTTGTTTGAGAGATGGCTTAAGATCAAGGGCCGGGATTGATATGGGTGTAGGGGCAGTGCTTTTGTGGACGGATGCAGCGAGCTGATCCGCCCTCACGTTGCCTTGAATCTCACGGTGCCCTGGCACCCAGCACACAACAACATGTCGGTTGAGTGTGTAGAGTGTGCATAAAATGGAGTAAAGTGAAACGAGGACAGGGTTTTTTTGTTTTTTAAGACTGTGCAGAGCCGTTACTACACTGAGGGAGTCTGTACAAATTACTGCTTTTTGTATTTGTAATTGCTTGATGTGTTTAGCCGCCACAAGTATCGCATAGGCTTCCGCTGTGAAGATACTTGTGCCTGGATGTAGAGGGCCAGCATCCGAAAAGGATGGGCCGACAACAGCGTAGGACACAGAGGAGTTGGACTTGGAGGCATCTGTAAAGAACTCAGGACGTGTGTATTTGTGTTGAAGTTCCAGGAAGTATGTTCGGATATGGGCAATAGGCGCATGTTTTGTAACTTCAAGAAAGGACACATCACAGTCTATAGTCTGCCATTGCCACGGTGGCAGATATGCTACAGGAGCCATTAAACTGTGTTCAAGTGAGACTCCAGTTTCCTCAGCTAGACTTTTCAGGCGAACTGAGAAGGGCTGCCTCATCGAAGGCCTGTTTTGAAACAGAATGGAGCTCGACATATCATTAATAGTAGAGTATGAGGGGTGCTTCTTATCTGCTTTCACCTTAAGGAAATAAACAAAGGACATGTAAGTTCTCTGCAGATGAAGCGACCACTCATTTGACTCAACATAAAGGCTTTCTACGGGGCTGGTGCAAAAAGCACCCGTAGAAAGGCGGATGCCCAAATGGTGCACGGGGTCCAGCATCTTCAAAGCACTTTGAGTTGCAGACTGATAAACAACGGCCCCATAATCTAAGCGGGTGCGAATGAGGCTTCGATACAGATTCATGAGACATTGCCTGTCACTACCCCATGTAGTACGTGACAACACTTTTAAAACATTCATGGCTTTTAAACATTTTGTTTTTAGATACTTGATGTGCGGTACGAAGGTCAACTTGTTGTCCAAGATTAATCCTAAGAATTTATGCTCCGCATTGACAGACAGACGTTGACCGTTCAATTCAATATCGGGTTCTGAGTGCATGCCTCTCTTTCGGGAGAACAAGACACACGTGCTCTTTTGTGGGTTCAGTCGGAATCCGTTTTCCTCTGCCCATTTGGAGACCTTGTTTAAACCTAACTGAACCTGTCGCTCACACATTACCAGATTGCAAGATCTAAAGCCAAGCTGGACGTCGTCGACATATGTACAATAAAACATATTGCGAGGGATGGACAAGTGCAAGGAATTCATCTTGATGAGAAAAAGTGTGCAGCTAAGTACACCACCTTGTGGCACGCCTGTTTCCTGGACAAATGTTTGGGAAAGAACCGTGCCCACTCGGACACGGAATGTCCGGTTTGACAGGTAACTTTCGATTATGTGAAACATTCTTCCACACACGCCAAGGTGGGAGAGGTCTCTTAGAATTCCGAAACGCCATGTTGTATCATAAGCTTTTTCGATATCGAGGAATACAGAGAGAAAATATTGTTTATGGACGAAGGCGTCCCTGATCTGTGCCTCGATACGAACAAGGTGGTCTGTGGTGGATCTACTTTCTCGAAACCCGCACTGAAATGGGTCGAGCAAATTGTTTGTTTCAAGGAAATGTACAAGTCTGCAGTTTATCATTTTTTTTTTCCCGTTTCCAGCACTTGTGAAGTAACATTTGTGAAATGCCACATTTTTAAAACACCAAGCTAAATTTAGGCAATATTGTTATCATTTCGATAGCAACTATGTGGACACTACGACGGGTTTCATGAAGTGCCTTACGACCCTTATAAAGTCCAAATTGATAACCTACCCCCGTGCGTCGTGTGTTTAACCTGCAAAAGCATGCGAGTGGGGGCGACAAACATGGTCCTGAAATGAACCGGCCTATCTTCATTGTTCAGAGGGCGCATATGACAACACCACCCCGATCGGGAGGCCCCGCGTCATAGCAGAAAGGAAACACCATTCCATCTTGAATGAGCATGGAAAGACGCAAGGTTGGGAGGGGTGTCAATCGAGCAGCAACTGTAGTGAATATTATGTTAGATGATATACAACAAAAAAATACACTTTGAATCACAACAGCTCATTTACACAACAAAGTTTGGCACAGTGGTGAGATACGAACAATATGATGACAGAAAAAGTCACAGCTTTGCCGCAAAGGCGAAGCAATGAATGCAATAGCAACAAATTGAAAGGTCACGCGCAGAATGGCCAGCAGATCGGAACGTGTTCCGCGTTTTTTACGCACGAAACATACTCTCAAATACAGATGGACGCGAATAAGCGTCTCAGTTGTTACTTCGCTGTGTCTGAAAAGTGCGCTCCTTTGAAAATGTAGACTGCGCAACAATTGTGGGGACCTTTGTGCGTCCGGTAATTAGAACCCAATCATTCCGGTAAAAGCAGAACGCCAGCCGAGACGTACGATCCTCCCTATTGCGAGATAAGGGCGCGCGAGTGAGCGTCGATCCCTGCTCTTTGCGGGGTAAAGTGCTGTGGGAGATGAGTGTGCGGCTGCCGCATCTTGACGACGTTGCTACGCATGCTCGTTGCACCATCTAGCTGGTAATGCTGAAAACACAATAGTCCCCCCCCCCCCCCCCCCAAGATGCCCATCAGCAGCGGTAAGTGGTAGATATAGTTTGCCGTTTGAACGTTGAAGGACGTGCTTGTCGGTGACTCAGTGGTTAACGCTTTGCACTCACTATTTAGATGACCAAAGTTCGATTTCGCGCGTCGGAGTCTTTATCTGGATGTTTTTCTTTTTTGAATTTTCATATATATAGATACGTATAGACATACAGTGAGTGACGACGGCCATGTCGACGTCGATGTCATGAAAATAAGTTTGTTATAACTGAAAATTCGTTACAAAGGTATATTCTTAACACTACATCTACTGAAAGACTATTTTTTCCTTTACTTCGTTATAACCGATATTTTGTCATATCTTGGTTCGTTTATAGAGGTTTGAGTGTACATGAAGATCATACAACCCATTAAAATTTGAAGCAGGAAGGGCACACAAAAACGAGATCACTGGTCCGCATCGTTTCTGCAGTCCTTTTGTTTCTTGGTTTTTTACAGTGCAGTACAAGATTTGACAGCACAACGCACCAAGGTGTCAAAGAAGGCCATCATGCGAGGGTCTTCCTCCACTGACTTGTGGCTGTAATCATGGTTGGACAGCTGGCCACTCTCCAGCACAAGATGGACATACTCCTGGTACGTGAAACGCCGGCGCCGCCTCTCGGAGCGGGTGCAACGCGAACCACCTGGGAGCGGCAGGCTGCTCCACAGCTGCACACCACCACGGGTGGGTTCAGAATGGCAACGAGGTTCCATCACCAGTGGCATAAGTTTTGTTTAGCAACAATGATTTCCCACGAAATTAAACACAATTGTACCACCTTCTCAAACAAATATTTAAACAGACATGTGGCATATGATGGATGCACTATTTCACTGTTGCGATCGAAACCAAAAGCTAACTGCGGTATACGAAAACTATAGATTATAGACTACAGATTTCATTATAGTGTTTTCTTTTTATTTTCATTTTTGTCTGCATACCATATTATGAGCAGTGTAAGTATTTTTATAATTCAAATGATTTTATTGGCTTCGCTCCTGGCTGTCAGACATGCAAGTTCGGAATGAAGGCCTCGTCAGGAGGCATATGAGTCTCCTTTCGCCTTACCTCATGGTCATATTTCACATTGCCTATATATGTCTGAAATAAGAATTCAATCGGAAATTACTCATCACATGAATTGCCAAATTATCTGGCGCATCAATAAGCGTTCATAGATGCCGTTGAAACCCCACAAACTCACTCTGCCCATTTTGTATGAACAAAATATCATCATAAAGCAAGTGTAACAAAACTGAAAGCAATTCCTAACATCCCGTTGCTAGTTGTTTGCTGGAAGCAAGCTCATATTTCACTTAGGCATTATGATTTAAAAAAAAGAAAAGAGGAACAGCGTTACGCAAAGCAAACTTAGTGCATAATGTTTCCAGTATGCTGAAGTAGTCGCTACTAATTTTTTGCTAATGACTACTAACCAATTAGTCATAATTATATTTGTAACTAAGAAAGCCATTGCCTAATTATCAAAATGTAGATGAGGCAGATGTGCTGTCTGTGCTGCTTGCAACAAAGTTTTAATTGTGTGCTCATTTTTTTCTGCCACTAAAGAAAGCCCACGGAATAACAAAAATAACACGCGAGTGTTCACACCCGCAAAAGAAAGCAGGGCACTCCACGCTCCAATAAGCTTACTGGAAGCAACAGCTCTGCCTCTTTTCTGTTCCCAGAGACAGCGTTTTGCACATTTGGAAGGGTACAGGTCGGGTGCCAACAACATGTGCCAACAACATGTGTCACTCTCGCAGACTGGTCTGCTGTCAGAACGGTAAACGAGCGAACATGACAGCACGTTGCCCGAGACAAGCCATTCCCCGTTATTGGAGAACTCAATGGCGTTGACACATCCATAGTGCGCTGTAGAGGTCATTCCGGTACAGATCGGCACCGAAGACGAGTCCGTCGCTTATCAGAGCGTTCCTCAAGCCAACATCACCGTCGTAATGCCTTCGCGAAGTGTAGCCGAGGATGCCACCTTTGACCAGGCTTCGTAGAGCCATTTCGTCAGCCTATGCTGCTTGCGCGCATCTCACAAGCGCCCGAGGCACCTTCCACTCGTGGGAGACCCTTCACGCGACAAGTGCACGCAATGTGGAAGTGTACTGTCCCTTAAATTGCAACCACCAACAGCGCGTCTGCCTTCTTCCATCACGGCTGCCGCTTGATACACCAATATCCGTCTTGACTTTAACTGGCTTCTTTTGGTTTCGGTTTCATTTGTAGCGATTCCTAACATCCCTTTGCTAGTTGTTTGCTGGAAGCAAGCTCACATAGCACTAGGCATTCATAATATACAGGGTGCCCCAATCATCCCGCAGCATAATTTAAAAAAAAAGAGGAACAGCTTTACGCAAGGCAAACTTAGTGCATAATGTTTCCAGTATGCTGAAGTAGTCGCTACTAATTTTTTATTAATGACTATTAACTAATCAGTCATAATTATATTTGTAACTCAAAAAAGTAATTGACTAATTATCAAAATGTAGATGAGGCAGATGTGCACAAGTTGAAATGACACCTGTCTTTGCTGCTTCCAACAACGTATTAATTATGAGCTCATTGTTTTCTGTGAATAAAGAAAGCCCGGGAAATAAGAAAAACAACACTCGAGTGCTCACACCCGGAAAAGAAAGCAGGGCACTCCACGCTCAAATAAGCTTACTGGAAGCGTACAGGTTGGGTGCCAACAACAGGTGTCACAGTGTTGCGGAGATTCCTTCCGCTTGATTGTACATCACTATCATCGTTCATATCACGCGATCACTCTTCTGATTAGAGCGATAACAGCCTGACTGTGTAAGCGTGATCCATATTTTTCTTTCTACATTTCCTTAATTGCTAATGGCCATCTCAAAGTGAGCATGTTTGAGGGCTCCTCTTCCTGATGCGTGCAGCGGTCTGGTCACGTGTTATTTTTCGTATTTCGAGGGGCTTTCTTTTAAACAAGAAAAAATAGGCACGTAGTTAGTAAGTTGTTGAAAGTAGCAAAGACAGATGTCGTTTCAACATGTGCACATCTGCTTCATTTACATTTTGATAATTAAGCGAGGACTTTTCAAGTTACAAATGTGATTATGACTAATTAATTATTTATCATTAACCAAAAATTTAGTAGCCACTACTACAGTACACTGGGAACAATATGCACTTGCTCTGCTTCACAAAACGGCGTTACTTTTTTTTTTTTAAGCAGTGCTGCGTGACAACTGGGACGCCCTGTATACTACACCACCACTGTCACTCTATGATCACCCTTGATTCACCCTTCACATGTGCTCGCAGTCATCATTGCCTTTAAACCTATGTCTCCTCCTCTGCCTCATGCTCACAGTAATTTCTTCCCAAAAGCGTCAGTTAAATAGTATAATCTAAAGTCATCAATAGCAGACACATGCAATCCAGTAATTTTCAAAAATGCCTTAGTTAAAGGGCTCGTAAACCACCCAGAGGTCAAAAGTTAGTTGTTGCGGGGGAATTGTGCACGAGTGTACAACGAACCTGGAGCCGTGAGAATTTTTCGAAACGGTACAGTAATTGCAGAGTTAGACGCATTTGATTATCGAAACTGTGACGACCACACCTTTGCTCTCTCCTGCGCTTTCTTCTGCTGGTATCCTTTCCCACGCCGCTTTTGCCCTCTTGCTGAGTGCCCCTTCCAATACTTTCTTGAGGACACCAGCTCGACCGATAGACTTTTATAAGCCGCTCGCCACGGTGAAGCGTGTCCTCCTCCCATCACGCTTGTTTTTTTTTTTTCTCCACCTTGATTTCACCCCGCCCTCTTTCTTTTTAGCCTACTTTCTTTTCTTCACTTCTATTATCTCTTCATTTCCCGTTCCCCTGTGAGTATATCCGTTGAGGTGTCCTCACATGAGAGACAGATATACTGCACTCCACACCCCATTTCCATACTTTTTTACTTCTTTTTTTTTCTCCTAAAGAATCCCCCCCCTCCCGATCTCGCGTGACATACGTCATTGCTGACGCGCTGCTTGAAACACTGTCTACTTCCGGTTGCTGCGACTCCAACCGTCAACTTCGTCAGTTGCGTGCTTGTTGGCGAACCGTGGCTGCCGTAATCGTGCTGGTATGGAACCTGCGTTGCGTGCATGCCTTCTGAGGATTGCCGACGCGATGGACCCGTACGGGGACATGCTGTGCCCCGCACGTGTTACCCGAACGCGGGCAACAGGACGAACAACAACAGGCAGCGCGGACAGCTGCTTGCAGACAGACCGGAAGTCGTAGGCTCTTGCTCGACAGCATATTTGTCATATTTGGCTCTGCGCGTCACGCAGAGGCCCGAAAGGCCCGGAAAGGAGAAGGGATTGTTTCTTGGAATTTGTGGCGCGCCAATGACTCGTAGCACTGCCACGTGCAGAATTATTGATCGCGACAGCATTATGCACATGATGCGCGCGTTTACTTGAAATGCTTGAAAAAATATTGGTGGTGGTTTATTGGCCCTTTAACATAATCTAGTGCTGTAAAGTTCTAATTTATTGATTTCTTTTTACTAGTGTTCCAAACTAGCCCTCTCATACTTCTAGTTATTATCACTATGGTGCTTGACCCAAGACCCACTGGTCTTGGGAACGAATCCTGGCTGCATTTTCAATAGAGGCAAAAATGCTCGAAATCTGTAAAGAACTTTAGTTGGCTGAAATTTCTAGAGCCCTCAACTACGGAGTCTCTCATGATCATATCAAAGTTTCTGGATACTAAATGGCAATAAATATTACTTCTCGTTAATATTACACATTCCTATTGGATTTGCTAAATTGACCTTCAAGTATTGCATTACTGCCGTTAGAATCAATGTCACTAAATATAAGAAAAATTTTCTAAAGAAGTAATGTCTTCCAACACATTTTTTCCACACACAATCTTTCAGTGGAATTAACTACCACATGAAACTGCTAACTGTTGCACTTGTGAGAGTGCTGACACTCCCTGCAAAGTTGTTTGCGCCGTGTGGCGCACGTGTCTCGCCCAAAAGCCGCATTTCGGGGGTTGATTGATATGTGGGGTTTAACGTCCCAAAACCACCATATGATTATGAGAGACGCTGTAGTGGAGGGCTCCGGAAATTTCGACCACCTGGGGTTCTTTAACGTGCACCCAAATCTGAGCACACGGGCCTACAACATTTCCGGCATTTCGGGGGTGACCACCACCGTGCGGTTGGTGGCGTGTTCGCAAGAGTTGGCCACCACTATCGTCATCATCATCATGTGGTTGCGCCGGCGGTGACCCCTGGCGGAAGCAAGCCTTGGTGACGAGCGAGAGTTGAGCGAGGCTCTTCTGCATGTGGCGGTTGCCGCGAACGGTTGTCTCTAGCGTGGGTCCTCGGCACGTGGCACCACGGGTATGCGCGTCGGGGGCCCTCGTGGTAAGACAAGCGTTGGTGACGCCGCCTTGGGTGTGTTAGTGTGTTTGTCATGGAGTGTACAGTAATAGTTGAGTACGTGTGTCCTGGCGTGTTTGACAACGATTGATGTATCGATTTGGCTGACGATATCGTCATCTAAATTAGTTGAATAAATGTATGTATATTGTTTGGTTTGTACTGACCGCGTCGGCTGTGTCTGCTTTCTCCAAGAGCGTGGCATGGCGCTCGCTCGCCGATTCGAGACCCCACACACTTAAGCATTGCTCAGAGGCACACTGTTACACTCATAACTTTGCCAAAATTTATTTTTTGCCTGTTTTTGTGTTAATCTTGTTTGCATGGTTGTTCTTCTTATGCAAGCATACATAAAGCCGTGTATTCCCCCCTGCAACAATTTTTTTTGACACTGCAGGTACTTCGTATAAATGAATAAGTAAATAAATATATAACTAAGTAAGATTGACTGTGCAACAGAATAGCTGAATTACAGTGCACACTACTGAACTATAGTGTAATAGAAATGCTATAATACTTCCAGAGACAGTAATTGCATAACCAAACAAATTAAACAAAGAATTAGGCCAGAAACACAGCACAGGGGCATTAATTGTTATATTTACCAGTTGCATAGTAATTGCTGCTGATGATTGTGGCCGAGCGGCAACGATAAACAGAACGGCGTAGAAGACAAGGTAGAAGTCAGGCATGAGGAGTGGAATGAAACATGGAGTTCTCTATGTAGGGCTCGAGTTCGTTAATATGCAACATTAATGAGGTAAATTGAAGTGCATTAATGTGGACAAAAATAACTGTTTCTGTCATTAGAATCCAAACTCATGGCTTTTGGCTTATGCATCTAATGGCTTTCCTAATCGAGCTAGAGCGGAAAGTGCCTTGCTGGGTATTTCTGTCCGTGTCATCACTGGAATTTTTAACCAGTAGCGCTTGTAGCCAAGGTGGTTATATGGAGCACTCTTTTTGCCAGAGGGCGTCACGTGGCATGTGCACAGGAAGGCAGGTGACTGAAAACTCACTGGGTGCCTTGCTGAAAGGCGAAAACCATCTCCTTTTTACTTTTCAGTCGGTGCGCTCAAAGGGAGCAGGGAACGCGTGCTGTGGCTTCCTGTGCCACTGCAAAGAGCCGTCTTCGTTTTCTTCCCTTGAGGTGGCGCACTCTCCGGTTGTGTTTTCCGCCCAAAAAGAGGGTGCTATTATGGCATCGTATGGCATTATGTCACATGACATGAGGTCAGAATTTGTGACATCATCATGTAGTGGTGACTTCTTGCATCACCGATTCCAACATCGAGGGAAGTTCGCCACCTACGGTTCCACTTCATAAGGCACCTAAGTCTTTCGCCTAAATAAACCCTCGCATGATAACCTAAGGCATCAAGTCTGCTTGGGCGAGAACGTTGCTATTATTACACAGTTGCGGGTTCAGATCCCACTCGTAGAGAGGGCGACTTGAAGTCCACTTTAATTCGTTTCAATTGACATAAGTATTACTAGACTACAGCTTTTTCTTTTATTGATGCCAGTATGCCATATGGCATAAGTTAAATAAAGAGAAAGAGCTCATTTTCTTAAAAGAAAGCCAGCAGCAATCGATGCAGAGAATCGTGAATCCAGCGCGATAAATCAGGTAATCGACTAGTGTGGTACACTACAGTTAAAAACAACAATTCATGTCCTCTATGCTTTCCCTGGCCTAGTCATCTATTGGTTTGATTCAGTTGTGTCTAATAAAGAAGTGACAGCTAAAAAATATTTACCTTGTTTCGTTAATTACCTGTGGTCTGATATGTACATCTGCATCGTGCTCACCTTTATCATCTTCTCGACACCCGACGATGCAACAACCATGGCAGTCTTGTTGAAGCGCACCTGGTTCACGATGGACCGGTGTCCCTGTAGCACCAGATGAGCCTGCCCCACCCATCTGCTCTTTGCATCACAGAGATCTGCGCTCTCCTCAATGTCGTCAGGCAGCTTCCAGGCGTAGAGCTGGAAGTCGTCCGAGCCAGACATGACGTACTCATCCCGCTGCCCCGCAAAGCAGCAGCTCTTCATGGTACAGGAGTTGCAGTAGTCCACGTGGTGCATCTGCACCACGGGTTGCCGGCACTGAATCTGAAAAACGGCTGGTGGTCGACGCCTCCGCAGGACGAGCACCTGGGTGCCCCGGCTGTTGAAGCGCACACTCATGGCACTCTGCGACATGGCACCGTCATAGCAGAGCAAGTAGCGGCGCGGGCATCGTACGTCCCAAAGGGCCGCACCTTCCCGTGAGTTGGCAGTGGCCAGGAGTCGCGGCTCGACCGGGTTGTACGTCACGGCGTGGAAGGGTGACGTCGAGGTGGCCAAGAGTAGGGGATCCGAGGACCGTGGCTCCCTCACGTCATACACGAGAATGGAACCGTCATCGCTCGCACTGGCGAACACAAAGTCGTTGCCAGGCTGCACCGACAGGCCGTACACTGCTTCGTCGTGCAAAAACACATCCTTTGTGACGCCCCTGCAAAAAGTGCATGCATGTTACACCAAGGTTACACCATGGTTACACCACTACTACCCCAGGGCTACCTAGGTGTCAAGCAAGAAATGTTGCTTAAGGCAATGTTTTCACAAAAAGAAGCAATGTGCACTGGGAGGGGGGGGGCTAGTTGGTTTGACATGGACGCAAATAAAACTGCACGGGTGATAGAAAGGAAGTAGAAGTTGGCAGGACGGGCACCCATCCTGTGAACTTCCTCTGCTTGTGTTTGGTCACTCGCGCAGTGTTCATTGAGTTTCACAAGAGGACTTGTGTGAAATGTTGGCTACAGTGACATTACTTATTTGGTGACTAGACGCAATTTCAAGCTCCCATTTCCGAACTTGTTTCGTTAGTGTCATTCAAATTGTGGCACAATTTTCGGGATCTACAAGCACGACTTGCAAACAGTTCTATAGTATGGCTACAATACACAGAATATCTACTCACGTTGCAACGTCATGTATCACAACTTGTTCATCATTACCTGCCAAAAGACAAAGGTGTCAGTAAAAGCACAACTACTAGAATCACACAAGATAGGTTGTTTTGAAAGAAAATGAAACTGCAATTGCCAATCTGTCTCTCTTGCCTCGTGGCCTTGAATTTATTATGATATATTTCAATAAAACTACATTATAAAGCACTTTTCAATGCCTCCTAGCACAATTCATGGATTGTACGATTGCTGCACTACAAAACGCAGATGTTGTTGAACTACTTTTACACATTTATTATGTATTACCCTGACCTTCCCTGAACACAAGTCTTCAAGCTTTCCGCATAAACCAGTGCTTGATTTGGTAACGGTACTTGGACCTTATGTATCAAAAGCAGAGTAAATATCAAAGATCTTGTACTCCATGTACATTCTTGACTTCAGCTTTAAAGGGTACCAAAATGAAAATGTTCAGTTCTAGCTTTCTTGTGTCAAATAAAAGGTCAAGCACTCAAGAGCCTAGAAAATATACTGCTAATTGTGAGTGCACCCTGAAAAAGTGATTACAACAGGTTTTTAAAGCTAGTTTCAGTTCCCCAATGTACCCCGATGATGCTACACGATAAGAGCTTCTCGACGCTAGTTCGCACGAGATATCCTGATGTTTCCATGACTGTTTCACATGTCTCCGCTGGTGATGCACAAGCGGCCATTTCAGATGTTTTGGCACCTGAAGTCATCACAACTAGCCAGACTGCTGTGTGAAGCCATCAGAATTAGTATTGTAGCCCGATGTCAAGCTAGTGTCGATGCCAATATTGGTACACCTTTGAACAATTTACTGGAACATCAAAATAAGTTATCTTATTAGCATTTGCCGAAGTTCACACTTGCCCAGAGTCCTCTCTGCATACAGGATATTTGTATGGTATAGTAAACTTATCTTAGAAAAATGGCGTCAGTACTCCTTTGAAGCGAAGCGAATATAGAGTCATTAATGCATGTGAGACGCTCGGTTGACGCTGGCCTGTGAATTAACGTACCAGCAGAAAATACAGTCTTGTGACACGAGTCAAAGCAGAGACAAAAGATGTTGCTGTTGTGGTGCCCCTTCATGGCTTGTGGCCGACCTGGACCCGAAATGGCTTCTTGCACATTCCACAACAGCACCCGCTGGTCGTCTCCCCCTGAAACGAATCGGCCAAGTGACTTGCGTAAGTTACGAGTACCACGACTTACTGTACTATTGACAAGTCCAGACATCCCCTCTACAGTGCCCATGTTTTGGTTCATACCTCCTGCGGCTACGGACATAACCGATGAGCATTGTGGGTCTAGTCAGCTCCTGGTTGCCGACGTCAGCTGCAGTGCTTGCGGTGCTGTTTCGCCAACGCAGAGTGCTCATATCATGTAATTATTATGCATAAATGAAGAATGTTTTGAAGGAACGGTACGGGAAGTGATTTAGAATTTTTTTCTGCATTTGAATGGACGCCTAATAATGATATGACATTATATAGGCCGTCCTGCATTATGCAAGTCTACGGTTTCTCACGTAAATCAATCCTTGTGCAATAAATACTTAACTGCACTGAATAGCTTACTTGACCCTCCATCTAAGTTTGCAGAAGGAGTCACATATATGCCAGCATTTTGTCACAGAATGCAGGCATTGTTACTCCAGCATTGTCAAAACGGCTGTAGAGTAGCAGACAATCAGGTTATATGAAGCACCAACAACAACGAGAGGTTGAATGAGAGCACGGATGCACACTCCCGTAGGAGCCCGCTATCTGTCGAGGTTAAGAGTACAAAAGCTGTGGTCAGTAGATACTTCATTATAGCTGCATTTTGACACGTGTGTCACGCTTGAAGTTTCTCACTGGTGAGCAATTTTCGTTTATGTAAATGCAAGGGGACCACCAGCTGCAAAGTAGTAAGACTGAATACCCTCACAGAGCTGCATTGTCTGGTACCATGAGGCTAGGCATGCCTCGTGTACCTGTCACATACAAGTGGCACAACATACCTTAACTTACTGACTAAAGCGATTATTTAGGCATGTTATAGTGTGACATAAGTGAAGCTTTTAGCGCAGAAAACAGGGTCAAAGAAGCGGTACAAGTGCACATGTGTCTCATGCATTTTTTTTTTGTCCTTGTCTTTGCTCAAAAGGCTTCATTCATAACTTATTAGAATGAGATGACAAAGAACAGCATAAACCCATTGGTTATCGCTCCTACGATGAGCTAACATGATCTAGCAAACTCACTCAGATTTTGGGTATCGGAGTGTCTAGCGTTACGTCTAGATGTAACGATAGATGTAACGTCTAGATGTAACATGTTAGAGTTACGTCCAGCGTGACAACAATACAAAACCGGCTGGTTAAACTCGCCGAAACCGATCGGCAGCAGTAGCGTAGTTGGCTAACGCAGCTCGTGCAGGACGGTGAGGTCGTTAGTTCAAGCCCAACCAAATATTTTAATTTTATTCTTTTTATTTTTGCGCAAGTATTCTTCTAAACAGTGCAGCATTAATGTTCCAAGGGCGCCGCCTCTATTTTTTTTTTTCTTAAAGAAAATAGCCTTCGTGGCCGCGGCGGACGCGCAACGATAGTAATAGCGTGAGAACAGAACGACGACACAGAGACAAAAAGGACAGGAGCGCTAACTTCCAACTACGCGTTGCTACAGTGGTGTTGGAAGTTAAAACCACATTGCTACAGCGCCATACAATTCTGCTGAAGCAAGCGAACCGCAAAGCGAGATAATCCCAGTGACACATGAGCAAACCTCCGAGACTGCGAAGTGATTATCAAACTCAAGTGCATATCGTGAACCACACGACAAACGTAACCTTAGAAGCTAATCATTGTTACGGCTGGACGTAACTTTCACCTTTCGCAAAAGCTACGTCTAGACCTAACGATAGAAGCCATTAAAGTTACGTCCAGACGTAAATATAAGACATAGAGTTACGTCCAGCATGACAACAATACAAAACAGGCTCGTTAAACCCACCAAACCGATCGGCAGCAGTGACGCAGTGAGCTAACACAGCACGTGCAGAACAGTGTGGTCGTTGGTTCAAGCCCCACTAGAAACTTTTATTCATTCTTTTGCACAAGTATTTTTTTAAACAGTGCAGCATTATTGTTCCAAGGCCGTCGCTTATATATACTTTTTTTCTTACAGAAAATATGCTTCGTGGCCACGGCAGATGCGCAAAACCGCGTTGCTACAGCGCCGTACAGTTCTGCTGTAGCAAAATAGTGAGTGTTAGCGACGAAAGTGCACTGCGAGATTATCTCAGCATGAGCGCTATTGGGTGCTTTTCCTGTAGAGTCTGTGTATTAACTCTATGAGTCGTAGAGTTTCCCACAGAAAACTATATGGTCTCAGTGACAATTCGTTTTGTGTTCTGAGATGATTTTTTAATGTTTTTACCATCACACCCCTAAAAATATTTATACAACGAGTCAGATGGATGTCTTTTTGTCGCTCAACCACAAACGTAATCTATATTAATCTATATTTCAAGTGTACATGTCGTCCATCCACTGTCTGATATGACGCGATCGCGCTGTGGTCAATACAGGCCTAAAACAGGTTATCAATGTTCAATATCAGTGCAAAATAAATTAGAGGTTCTGAAATAATGCAAACTATGCGATCAACCAAGAATTATTCACGATAATGCATATAAATTCACGATAAATTCTTCAAAAATTGCTGCTGTCACCTGTAGCCTAATATCGCAGCTACAGGCTGCTACAAGTGGCAATGTGCTACAAGTAGGCTGCGCGGGCCAACGCTTAGAGATACTTCCACAGAACACCTTTATAGATACTAAATTGGCACGGGCTGTGCCATTAAAATTTGGCCAATGAGGTTTTCGGAGGACGAGATATTTACATGCGACAAAAACAGCTGTAACTACTGTTAATGTATGGGCGTAACCCTAGTGAACGTTTTATACTTCAGCACGGGCACGCAAACCGTACTTGCATCCAGTTGGAGAGCTGCTGTTTACCATTAACTGCGGTGTGAGCAGTGTTCCGTCATGATTGCTCCCCTTGTTGACCCCTTCAAGGAAGCTAACCAAAAGGCAGCACCCGATACGGTAGAGTGGTACCGGCAACATCTTCCAAAAAATCGTCAGCTGATCTGTCTCAACAGAGCTGCTGATACGCGAAAAAGTCCGGCACAATAAATGATGCAGCCTTTCAACACACTAGTGATTCCTGTAAATCTCAGCTTATGACCGCTTAATTCGGTGAGCGGCAGTGCCAAACGTTACTGTAGCAGATGCAAACGTCACCGTGGGACCGTGCACATAAAACAAGCAGTGGCTAAAGTTATTGTCTAGATGTAGCACTACCGTTGGCTATAGCTACGGCTGGACGTAACAATAGCGCTGGCTACAGTTACGTCTGAACGTAACGATTGTGGTGGCTATAGTTACGTCTAAACTGAACGTAACGATTGTGGTGGCTATAGTTACATCTGGACGTAACGATTGCGGTGCTTACAGTTACGTCTGGACGTAACCCTAGTCACACCGTTCAGGTATTCTGCGTATACAATGCACTAATTTACCACGACGACATCATCAAAAGGTCAGTTTTCAATTACGATTGGCTTGAAATTTCTCGATTTACACTGGCTTCCTTGCGCATACTGGGGAAGGAGGTGAACGAAAAACTGAACCTTGACCAGCTCGATCACGATCGCCGGTGACCAACGAGGTCATTATGACACTCAGTTCCCCAAGTGTAGCGTTCTAGCAACGTTTCAAAAGCTATGTCACAAAATAGGTTTTAAAACACTGCCTTATTACTTTTATACAAGCGCTCTTCTGCAACACGTTGCTGGTAACACTGAATGTGTTGTTCAAATTTCCGTCGCGCACCGCAAGTGGAATAAATACTAGGCTAAGCAAGGACAAAGATGGGCATGCTTGTCACATGTTGCAAGTGGCTGCACTGATACGTAATGGGGCCTGATAAGGTTGCCGAGACGATAATGCTCACGGATATATGTCACACGCACTGATATATACAGATCACGCTGCCACGAATGACACGGTATGCAAACATATCTGTTGGGAAGCTCTCGCAGACTGGTCCGCTGTCAGAACGGTAAACGAGCGAACATGACAGCACGTTACCCGACACAAGCCATTCCCCGTCATTGGAGAACTCGATGGCGTTGACACATCCATAGTGCGCGTAGAGGTCTTTCCGGTACAGATCGGCACCGAAGACGAGTCCGTCGCGCATCAAAGCGTTTCTCAAGCCAACATCACCGTCGTACTGCCTTCCCGAAGTGTAGCCGAGGATGCTACCTTTGGCCCGGCTTCGTAGAGCCATTTCGTCAGCCTATGCTGCTTGCGCGCATCTCACAAGTGCCCGAGGCACCTTCCACTCGTGGGAGACCCTTCGCGCGACAAGTGCACGCAATGTGGAAGTGTACTGTCCCTTAAATCGCAACCACCAACCGCGCATCTGCCTTCTTCCATCACGGCTGCCGCTTGATACACCAATATCCGTCTTGACTTTGACTGGCTTCTTTTGGTTTCGGTTTCGGTTGTTTGTTGACATGTAATGCAGATTAACTCTGGCGTAATGTTGTACCACTTCGAGCGTTCGTAATACGTCCGTGGTTGGGAAAGTTTTCACAGTAAATCATATGCCTTTGCTTCGCACGGAGTATTTCATTGATACAGTCCGGACTGTATATGATTCACCCAATCCAGATTAAATCTTTCTGAATGCACAACCTAGCTATAAACTAGCTGTACGTATGCTCGTCAGTATAGCGTCTCTCCTGTTGTCTCATCCTCGTCCGTGCGTTAGCTCTGTAAAGCACTGCGCCATGAGGTCTACTACTACTTATAGAGATGGTTTTCTAAAATTTAAAAGGAAATAATATTTAGCACAAAGCAACACACAGCCCGTCAAAGAGCACAGGAATGGCCGTCCATGTGTTGCTTTGCGCTAAATAAATTTTTCCTTCAGAAGTTATGAATTAACTAGCCCGAAAAAAAGTTGTTCTAAAATTTAAAGACCTTAGCATCAAAATAAAGCGCTTAGGACTTTTACGGTGCTTCGTTATAAAGATGACTTCATTGTAAACGACCTGGCAGGAAGCAAAACATTTGTAATCTTGCTGCTCAACTGTTTTTTTCTGTTCACAGGTGAAATGCCGACGTGCTCTTTGCCCGAGCCGATACTATCAATGCACTTTGCTGCCACGTTTAGTCATAGTGAAATCAAAACACCGATCGTAGAACTCCAGACACAAGACGCAGTCTGACACACAATACTCATCTTTAACAGCACGAATGCTGTCTTTATTGCGCCGAAGAATAAACTATTTGAAAACGGAAGGCAGAAATGAGCTCATCCTCGAGAGAAACGGGCAGTCGTAGGATTTCAGTCCAGGGATGGCTTAGGTGAACCACTTTGTTCTTTGTTGCAGGAACTCCAGACCTCAATCAACTGGGAAGAGGGCGGAAAACGCGGTGCGGATCTCAGCCAGCATATCTGTCGTCAACGTGCTGCGTGCCATCTTCTGAAAGGCCAGCCGACTACATCGACGCACCAGCATAGAAGCACCCAGGGCTGCCAAAGCCGCCGGGGGCACCTGACCCGCGGAACCGTCACCAGCCGAAGCATCGGCAACATGACTCCAGAACATCATCGTGGCCGCGGCGCCGCTTACAATGTCGCCCTGTCCGCCACACCGCCTCGGACTACCTTGCTCGCGACAGGTTAGGCTAACACGTCCATCCGTGACCACGTCTTCGGCTCCTTTGGCCAGAACGGTGACATTGCCCAGACCACGCGCTAGCTGACGCGCGGCTTCCGTGCGGTCCGACACCACGGCCCTGACTCCAAGCACGGCATTGCACAGCAGCTCCAGTTCCGCCGCGTTGGGGGTGAGCAGCGCTCTCTGATAGCCGCGCAGCATGTCCGGATCCCGCGCCACGAAGTGAAGTCCGTCGGCATCCACGACCAGGGGCAGGGATAGGGACCGTGCCTTCGCTACCACCGTCTTGACCAGGCCGCCCGTGTCCTCAGCGCGACCGAGTCCGGGCCCGATCACGAGAGCGTGCATTCGCGGCAGCAAATCCAAGACTCGCTGCGCGGCCGCGTCGGGCCCTCCGGTCTCTGGGAACGGCATGACCATGAGCTCCGGGCCGTATGACTTGATCGCCGGCGCGGCGCTGGACGGGCACAGGACGTAGGCCAGGTCGGCGCCCGTTCGCAGTGCCGCCATGCCGGCGAAGTACGGCGCTCCGGTGAAGTCTACCGAGCCTCCAAGGATGCCAATGCGGCCTGCCTGACCCTTGTGGCGTTCGGAACAGAGCGGAGGAATGATCGCGCACACGAGCCTCTGCTCGGCGCTCACGCTTTCGGGAACCGCAGCCATGGCGAGCGATGCAATGAACGATTATTTGCGCTTACCAGCTGCTGCTCTCGCAGTGATCGCGGATTTCACGCATGAGCGCGGTACAAACGATGACCACTGGCCGCACGCAATATTTTTACTGGTGTTTATAGGGAACCCAAATAGCCGGGAATACCACAGAACACCTACATACTCGGCACCTTCGTAGATACTGCGGAGTCTACAAACAGAACAGACACATTCAAGAATGCGCACTAGGAACACTGCTTAGAACACCCGCCGCGCAAAATAGCGCTCTATTCGCATTATCAGACAATGCCTCCTCTATTTAGATGCATGCCGCGTGAGAACAAAAAGCTGCCGTGGCTGCCACACCACAGAACACCTATACACTGCCACACTTTTTCCCTCCTTTATTTTGATTGGATAGATAGATGAATTGATATGTCTGTACCCTTTAGATCAGGCGGCGGCTATAACGTCACCTAGCCGTAATACTTATTGAACCAAAAAATAGATTTATCCTTTTTCCCCTTCAATCGTGAAGTTGAGGACTGGTACTTTGCAGTGAAGCGTTTAAATTTCCTCCGTGCCTTGACTTTAGCCAGCAATCAGATGACCTCCTTCTAGATAATTCTACCCGCCTAAAGTCTATTTTGCCTTCCCTGTCCCTAAACCCCAGTGCTTTGAAAAACTCTGCGAAGCCGTTTACAGAACATTATGAAGTGTTCGGCCGATTCCTGTTCCTCTCCACACGCACTGCATACCGTGTCTACCTCTTCGTATTTGGCCCATTTTGTCTTGGTTCGCAATACTCCCGTCCTGGCCTCAAACAGTAGAGAACTACCCCTAGTATTATCATAGATCTTTTCCTTGGCAATTTCCTGCTTAAAAGTTCGGTAGATTTCTAGTGCAGACTTCTTGATCATGCCGATTCTCCACATGTCGGTCTCCGTTTTTTTCACCTTCTTCTTAACTGATAGTTCTTTTTGGTTTGGCCATCTGCTGTTGTCTAAGTATTTACCCGTCAATTTTCTGGTTCGCTTCCTCCATTTTGTATTGACATTCTTCATGTGCGAATCACTGAAAACCTTCCTAGCCCAACGCTCCTTCCCTATTTCTATCAATCGCTTCTCAAGTTTGCTAGCTTCCCTGCCCTCAGATTATGTTCATACAATATCACCTTGTGCTCCCTGATTTGGTGTATTCCCGTGAGCTCCTAAAGCAAGCCTACCTATTCCACGTTGCTTAATTTATAATCTTGCTTGATCTCATGCTCAAAACCGCATTGTCAGGTGACGCTGCGAGCCGCGCTGCCTGTCGGCGTCGACATGAAGTGCGTCGCTCTTCGCTCTTTAGTCAGCACACTGTTTCATTCTAGTACATTGTACACTATGTTTTCAATACTGCAGACCACGCGTTATCGGTTGGCAACGTATGACTCGTGTCACGTGACGAGCTTATGGCTGCTTTCGGCGCTGTGGGCTTCGTTGTTGGCGTCAGTGTTCCTTCAAAAGTCTCGTTCGGGCTACAAGAGTGTCGGTGCAGCGGCAGGGCCCGCTGCTTGACCGCTCAACCAGTTGCATGAGCGTACTGCATCATCGGTCACTGCGCGCGACGCTCAGCATGCCCGGAGACTGTCAGCCAGGTTGAGTCGCAGGTGAGCCCAAGCTGCTACGTGAACTGTTCGAATCTTAACGCACATGCTGGGTAGCTGAAGGCAGCGTTCCTGTTTTAAGAATAGCTGTTGTGTTGATGCAGGCGACAAATGGGTAAATGGGTACTGAATAGAGTTGCGCGATGCTAGCACGGTGCCCATTTCGCGCGGTTGCGTTCGGTGAATGCGTGGCTCGTAACTTGAGTCTCTGACCCGTAGTTGCTGTTGCGCATTTGAAAACTTGCTGCCTCTCTTATGAGATCGCGTCTCCACCTTGACAAACTAGACGCATGATCGAGTTAGTCGCTTAACGCTAGAAGTGACTGCCTGATCGAACGCGCTGTTGACAGGCAGGCTGCGAACTCGTGACGCTGCAACAACCTGCGTGGTACAAATCGCACGTGCACATATTCGCTTGTCGATGGTGCAGATAGAAACATTGGTGCGGTCATTCTATATATGTCGTGCGAAGTCGTCTCACGTAAACGAGCATTATTACAGATCATGTCGTTGAAAACATAGCCAAATATCTCATTGATGGCGTGTTCCTGCGGTCAGGGTGCACGGCGATAGCCTAGTTAATCGTCAGAGTAGAGCGATATTTGGGATAAGGCGGTGTTCGCGTGACTAACTAGGGTCGCTACTGTTTGGTGACAGATAAGATGTGCGCTTCCGTGTCGCGCATGTCTCGTATTCTCCCAGCTTCAGCTGTCGACGTCCAAGTTGCATGTTGTCGGAGCGGATCGCGACAGGTGTGTTTTTTGCGAGTAGTGGATTCAAACGAGGTCTTGGTGATCGAGAATAGCTAGTCTATTACCACGGAAATTTCTCGGCAGTGCCGTTTAAAAGTATTCGTTTCTTTGAAATGTAAAAATTCACACATTAAGGATGGTTCCCTGTGATGTATCCATTACATATTTAGCAATTTATACTGTTGTTGACACTGTTACTGTGCAACGAACTGGTTTAACCTCTTCAAGGTGACAGTATTTGCGTCTGTTCAAGGCTCAATCAATTAAGAGTGCAATTGGACCATTTGTTGTTCTGTGCATTTATTTAGAAGAACAATGCACAAAAACGTGTAGCTCAAGTTTTTTTTTGTTAAACGTATATGTAATATTACTTGTGCATATAATTATGTTAGTGATACCATTCCAAATGGCACCAATGTTAATGCAACTTGTTATTTTATCTCATATTTTTGTTGAAATGGTTTGCAAATCAATCGGTCTGTATATTAGGTTTCACGAATGAAATAGGATATTGGTATGAAGCCATCTATTATTTGTCTACCTTACACGGTTACTGAGCAGCCGAGTGCCCGCATAGGAACATTGAAGGTTGATTAGCTCAACACCATGCATTTAGGAATGGTTAGTTTGTTTGAAATAAATTATTTTATCAGGCATGTTGGATAGGTTGCTATGCAACTCGTGTGCAAAAGGTGCAGAGCCAACAAATCACGAGGACATGAAAAGTTTGGCGTTATATTAAGTGCACGTCACCTCTGGTGTCATTTGCACGCTGTCACATGGGAAAACGCACTTGTCGACGAGCGCGTTTACCAAACTTGCTTCCCCACGATGGAGTGTTTAGCCTCGATAGCAGTCGCATGAGAATAAATAAGATATTATTCAAAAGGGAGCTCATACCGTCTTTTAAACTATCATTTTTGTTATTAGGAATATTCTTATGCATTAAAACATATAGTTCAACCAAAGAAAAAGAAAACTATGCTATTCTCACTCTCGGGCAGTTTGAAGTCATGACTGCCAGGGTCAGCCAGTGCACATTGTGCAATGGCTGCATTTGTAGTTAAGTTTATTTTAAGGGCTGCTTATAGCTATATCACATTAATACGCAAAAGACATAACCAGAAACAGCAATTATCTTAACATCATTTACAATGTACACTTCTCTTTCTTGTGTAGCAGCGCATCCACAAAGCGACATTCTTGGGCCGTAAGTGCACTCGCTCAAGATGATGCCAAGTTTGCGGGTGTGACCAGGGTAATATGCTAGCCCACTGCAGTAGCTCAGTAACCATGACAGTGGGTTGCTTAGCTGAAGGGCTAGGGTTTCATTTTCAGCAACCCTGGACACATATTGATGCAAGGGTTCTTGATGCACTTTTGATTTAGATGCGTGTTGAAGAACACTGACCCGTCAAAAGGAATGACGAGTTCCTTTCAACAGAGGTGCGTTGCAACCTTACTGTGATTATGGCACGAAAAGTCGCGTTTGTTGAAGTTGCTGTTCAATGTGTTCTGTTGCATTTGCATGTGTTCATATATTCACTTGTTTGGCATGATTTTTAGAGATAGTTGTCAGTAAACACCTGTCTGCATCATGACGCCTGCACTTCTTCATTGGGCCACCAGATTGATTCAGTGTTGCTTGTTTCAGTGGACATACATCACAAGACAACTCAATATTATTCATGCCTGACTTAATGTCACGGTTTCATCCATGAGCAATGGAGAAACCTAGAAAGCACCGGATGGCTTTTTATGTTTAAGACTTCTGGCAGTCAATCACTTTAGATGTAATCTAGAATGCAGTTGAAAGGGTAGTGTGTGTCTCCGTTGTTTGTTACCAGTGTCTACTGTAGCACTAATAAACATGAATCTAAACTTGTGGCATGTAGATGAGGTGTGGAATTACTGTGTGTGAAAGTTGATGTGCAAAAGTATTCATGTAGTACACTTCTGATGTTTTCTTGGAAGAAAACCCGGAGTGTTAATCACAAAGACTATTGTAAGCCTAGGTTTTTTTTTCTTTGAACTTGTTTTGTGCCTTTCACAACATTACTTTTTTTTAGGCCACATTGTTACTGAACAGTCTGTGTTGACCTGTGATGCTCGTTTTAGGCTGGTAGCTATATCAATTCCTTTTCTCATGCTAGTGTCTTTTTGTGCTTCAGAATTTGACCATAGCTAAAGCTATAGTCCACTGATATTATATATCAAATCTGCTAGGCTTGAGCAGTGGATAAGACTATAGACCTATTCCATGTTTGTTAACTGGGGTAGGCGCCGTCGGCATACTGAGGCGCTTGTGGTGACGTTGCAGCGCGTGGGCTCTGCCCACTCTAAAGCTCGCCACTGCCTTCTATGATCACATGACAACTAGCACAGCAGCTGCAATGCTGCCTCTGAGCACAGCACGCCAATGGAGCATCGCATCCGTTAGTGTGAAAGGCTTCAATGACGTGCTTTGCTCGGAGCATGGAGGAAGAAATATTTGAGAGGTGAAACTCCCATTTGAACGGATGTCGACAGACGTCCAGGTGACGTCGCATAAAATACAGAAATAATAAGCCCCAATGGATACATTACAGTTGGCCGGCATAAGGCCGCAACCACGAAAAGAGAACTCTACAGGACGAGTGCGGCCGAACGTGCTCTGTGTTTTTGCTTAATGACTGCGGCGTAGTGCGAGTAACGCGCGCGACTGGTTGGTTCGGAAATTATAACGGCGGCAATTTCTTTTTTTTTTTTTTTTTTTTTTTTTTTGCTGCAAGACACCTCCAGCATGAATTGGCTCTGCAACAGTGTGATATTATCTGGCCACATCAAGGAGCAGAGTTTCCTTGGCCAGGAGGCAGCTTTGCTGTTGCTGTGCCAATTAGTCACGTGATCATAGAGAGCAGTGGCAAACACTGGGATGTAAGGTCCCTAGATAAAACAAGTTTTCAAGGTAGGGACATTCTTCCCTTTCCTACTCGCTTATGTTCCTGGAGCGCCCTCTAGAAGGTTCAAAACTTTCATACGAAAGCGAATGTTTGGATTCAGTTGCTACGGTGAGACTGTGTAAATGAAAAGAAATGGAAGGAAATGATCGTAGAATAAATGGTTACCTATGGGAACATAAACAGTACAACACAAAAGCTAGCGGTATTTGCTTTACTCAACTGGCAACATTGTGCAGCTCAATATTTTACACCACTAGCCATGGCGTCCCGCGTCGCACATTGTAGTTTGTCCAGTTTATAGTGAACTAGAATATGATTCTAGTTCACTATAGTCTAGTTATAATTAGTCCAGCTCTACGAATGAGTTTTGTTCATGCTGTTACACAGTGAACGCACTTCTTGCTGGATCCTGTCAGTGACCTCAGGGTGTAACGTAACGAGTGATTACAGCTGGCTTGTGCACACGCAAGGAAAAACCATGGCCAGACTGGTACAAAAACGTCATCGTAGCACCACTGCGATGACGTTTTTTTTTTAATGTGGCCATTTCGGCAATCGTGATGCCAGGCGATTCTGGTGCGGTGCACGGAACTTCCTGAAAAGTGAGACTTCTTCTGGTGAGGTGTCCTGAAGCAGCGCGTTTCGACTTACTTATACTGCATTCTAGAGAAAGTGGCTTGAACTGGTCAAGCATGAAATATTCCTGAAGGTAGGCTGATTTCACCCGCCAGCTGCTCTGTATATGTGCATATACACAAGTATTCGTAACAACTGGCATGCACTAGACGCGCATTAGACGCGTGCCTGGCATTTCAATAAAAATCGATAAATATGCTCGCTTCGCAGATCCGCGTCGACGTCGAAGTTGCACGAAAGCGATCACATGAAATGTTTCATAGCTACACCTCACAGTGTGCTTCATCTCGGATAGCACGAGGTAAATTGTCGAGAGCGAAACCGTTTTCTGTTGTTTTACAGCAACCCAGCATGTTTGAGAAACGCGGATGTTGGGTTGAGCGAGCACTGCGAAAAAATCTTGGCCGACTTGGCGCACACTGAAACGCTCATCCTCTTCAGTTTATGTCCTGGCTATGATTTTGTCTTTGGTCATGGCGAGAATCCGGCTCGAGCCATTTGGGCATGTACACTCGTTTTGAACCTTTTGCATAATAATGAATGACACCACCAGCCATTTGCAATACCACGTGCAAGGAATGTACCAATTATACATGCGGATGATAGAGAAAAGGAGGGGTAAGCGAGAGAGTGAGGAGGACAGCTCGAGAACAATGAGTGGCGCTACCTTGAA